AATGGGATGAGTCAGTTAAATGCGAATCATGTTAAAAGTTGACGCTGTGAAAATAAATGATTGAACGAATTGATTGAGGTGTTCAAATGACTCGAGACAATGCGCAAACTGTCGTATCGATTTTGTGTTTCGACGTAATGTATGTTGGGGAAAAAGTCTTTTAGAGCAATTTACAGTATGACGGATTACATCAATTATTGCAAACTGCATAGTGAAAGCACCATTAGCAGTTGCTGCAACATTTGCCGATGTTACTTAAGTAACTTAAGTTTTGGCAGTTCAGTGATATGAGTAGCGTCGAAATATATGTGCAATGAAAGTGAAAAGCTTGCATCGGTCGTTTGAAGTCATCGAAAAAATCGTAGAGATCGATGAAACGTTTGTCAGAAGACGGAAATTCAATCGAGGAAGAAATGTCAAAGAAGAGTGGGTAAGCAGCGCTTCCTTGAATATACTTAGCAGGTCTTTGGCTTATGATCGATAACCTCAGGAAGGACACTTCCGATACGTTGGAATATGACAATCTACAACTACCATACTGACTATATGAGTCTATGTGCAGCCGAGTACCACATCACATGGATAACTGGAGAGAATGTCGGTGCCTATTTAGGTTTGGATACGTGCATCTTATCGTCGTTTACAAGCGGCATTTTGAGGGCCTCACCATGGGAGCACATACCAATAATACAGAAGGAACGTGATGGTTGCTAAAAAAACTGTTGTAAAGCATCAATTTAATACATGAAAATCCTGATAATTATGTGGATTTTGAACTTTTTAAAAGATGATAAACGATGAGTTCTGCTCATGTGATTATTGGGGACCGCATAAGTTATGCTCAAGGAGATTTCAACTGACATCTCATGTTTATGATAATGAAGCGAACCTTTGTCAGCGTTGGTGTAATTTCGAAAGCGATGTTTTCAGTTTGCAGATCATTCGCGTCGCTGAGTATACCGATTATTCTTATGAATGATTGTGTTGCTAAGCCTCTAATTAGGCTAACAAGCTTCAAAGTTGTTTAATAAATAATCAGCCGGCGGAAGCATTTACTGAAATCATCTGTGTTAAATAAAGATGACCACGAAAAAACTACTTATTGAAAATTGTACGTCAGTTTGTCGAAGGATATTTTATTGACAGTTTTGCCATATACCTGTCATGTTACTTTTATTTATTTTATTTATTTATTTATGGCTTTATTCAATATTATATTTTGGTAAAATATAGAATTCTCAGCACAAAAATATTTCAACAAGTTTCTTTTACAGAACGAAAGAAAAAAAAACGGTTAAAAAAAATCTGAAAAAAAGAAAAAAAACTGTACAACTTTTCAATTAGAGTCATGTTAAGAATGCAGATTATGAAGTCGTCTTAATGACGATCTTGAGAAACCATCATGAATAACTATTTATAGTGTTAATTTGGCATTAGCTAGTGAGAAATGTTTATTCGTTGTATGGGTGTTTAATAATTTTATTGTCCAAAATATATATCCACGTTAGGAGATTCAAAAATATCCGATTTTCGCAGCATGAACTGATCCGAGGTACATGATTATATTACAAATTGTAATCCAGAAATACTTGTTCAATTGATGTCAATTTTAGCCATGGGCTTCAGAGGTTTTATTTTAAATGCTCGCTTTACTAACGGTTACGTGGCAGTTTAGTTATTATACCAGTGCCGAACTATAACATCTTAATGCTGTGACTTTATTACTTTCACTAAGTTAAACGCGTTTTTTCAGGCAATTAATATGACAGCCCAATTTATAAACTGAAATATGCATGACAATAGCGACCATGATGGGTTTGGTGGAAAATGTTAAGGCTGTTTCAAATAATTATTGAATTCAAATGACATAAATATCATACAATGTTACTCATTTGTAAGCCAGTCTAACAAGTACCTTGATAAGGGGATGTAACGACTCATATAATACGAGTCTTGGTAGAAAAATATTTCGAAGTTGGGACATGACTTATGGTTTTGCAACTAGGAACAAGATGGACATAATATAGACTTCATGAGAGTTCGCCGTATTCAGCCTAGTAACACTCATGTTGTGACAATAATCAGATTAGTGTTGAGTTTAATATGGTTCTCCCATAAATGACACACTTTGCAATTGTAGTATGTTGTCATTTGAAGCTACTAGATATGTCTTATTCCAAAAACGGTTTTACGAGTGGTTCATATGAAATACATAATCGCCTAGTCTACGTGAAAATATATACATGTTAGGAAGTACCAAAAAGATTGAAAATCATCTGACGAAATGGTAAGACTCGTCTGCTTTATTTTCGGGATTTAGATTATCCAAAGGTTTGACGCATATACAGCCAGCTGTGACAAAAGTGTATATTAATGAGTAACCAGATTAAACAGACGGTGTTGCAACTGACTTCAAGGTGCATGACTGTCAATCGAATGATTCAGTACAAATTCAAAAATGACCAAGTTAAATACTCGGCTTTTACCTTTTGATAAATCTGAAACGAGCTCAGGATTTCAGAAAGTTTATGTCCAAACTCTTCCTAAGTTTCTGCAATATTCTCATCCTTGTTTGATAATAGAACTCAAAAGCAGGAGACTGGGCAGACGTCTACTAAGAATCATATATACTAATGCTTGACATTTAATAAACCCATTTCACCGAAAATTGTAAGTGTTACTAAGGTCTGTTAATGAACCTGTTGACGACTCATCTACTTTTATTACTTAGTATTCTTAGACACTACTTCACTCGATAAGTCCCCGAATCAGAACACGGTAGAACAAGAGTGAAATTATACGCTAAATAAATATAGTTGGACAGAAGTAGGAATCACAATAGGAGAAACGTTGACATATTTGTAGTTTTTATATAATAAGATTTTAGAGTCTTCTATGAGTACCTGCTGGCGCTGATTGGTCAAGAAAAAGTCAAAAAGAGCTCCGCAACACATTTCTGCACGGAACATGCTTTAATACAACTTTTATCCCTTCTTATACCGATCTATGTTCAAAGTCTAAATTTCACTGGTATACAACGCGTTAGAGAAGCTGTTGTTCGCAATAGGTTAATGAGCGGGGATCCTAAACCTTGTCAAACTAGGGGTTAGAAATGAACATGTTTTTGGACGATAGTCAATATGTTGAGATGTACGACATGTCGTCGGTAAACATTTCCCTGATAACTTGGTAGTATCTGATCGTTTTTTACTACTTACAGAAACCATGGGTTACATAGTAATAATAATTTATAAAGAGAAATTCAATTATTCGTATTCGTCTCCAATTTTTCGTCCTTTACGGTCGTCCTACAGAAGAAAAAATTGAGGGTGTAAATGAACATCGTATTACACTCAACCTTACGTAACCGACCAAAACATGAATTAAAAACCTGGCATATTTGCATATATATACCACGCGACAAAGGAAAAAATCGCACTTGAAAAAGTTTCTTTTGAGGGATTTTTCGCAAAAATGATTTGCACATACACATAAGAACAGTAAAACTACATTGATTTTTTTTTGTAAGATGTATAATTGTTCTCGGAGCGCCATGGTTCTTCTAGAGCACATGGATTTAGACCGGTTATCTGATATCTGTGAAGTTTCTTTTGGGTTGTTTGCTATCGGGTATTACATCTTGATAGTGAGGATTGCGTCGTCCGACTTTTTAGTAGGAACGTTAAAGCAAGAGTTTGCTACCAAGAAATCGGCTTTTAGCCAGTCGATGCTGGTGTCATCGTTAATTCAGTTCCAGATAGTTGTATAGCACTTTTTGTCCCAAACTACAGAAATGTCAGAGGACATGTTTCCGAACTCCAGCGGAATAATGTGACATATTTTTTTAACGTGATCTTCGACCAAGTCGACGGAGCGTTAATCAGGCCTATCGCCGATAGAAAGCCTGGACACCAGCGACATGTACTACGGAAATACACAGAGTATACCATGTACTCTACTTATTTAGAATACAGTCAGGGACGCTAACTTCTGAGATGTTAACGACACTTTTAGGACCTGTAGCTGTCCGGATTAAGAAATATTTAACTCAAATCAACTTTTCTCTAAAAGGAATGTGAATCCCCAACAAAGTGAGTAATAGGATCAGGAGAAAATTTTCGCGAACGTTGAATTACCTACCAATGTTGTTCTGAGGAAAGAATTTTCCCTGTAGGTCACATCTTATTGATTACGTCTTAGCAAACGGTACGTCAAAATGTAATCAATCAGTTGAGAACTACTATATTACTGCGTATCAGGTTTGTCGTGAACGCTCTTCTCGATCATGTGATGCAATCCAGGTGAACAATTGTACAAGGGAATTTTATGACTATGATACTGGTGTACTGATGCGGGTTTACTGTCTTTGACTGATGTAACGGTCAATTATGTTCAATAAAAGGCAGATGGGTTTATTCACTTACCTATCTTGCTTGATTCATGAGTCGCAACTTATGCATTATTATTGGTATGATTTATTACTAATATTTCTAAATATCTGCATTTTACTTTTGGGTTATTTCTTTCTGGACATATCTGTTGGTCTTACACTTTATTCTCGTCGTTGGTTTATTTTCGTGAATGAACATTTTCTCCTGACCTTTATCCTATCTACACTCCTTTGTATTCTAATATTGCAATTTTCACATAGAAATCAATTTGTTTCCTCTCCGACGAAGTCGTAGCTGCTAGTGACGACAATCGTAATGCCCTGCGAAAAACACAGTCATTGGAAACCAGAATATTCTTACCTTCAAATAGCTGTTCAAACTACTGGGACTAATGGAGTTGAATAGCTAGAATACTTTCACCGAATAATAATAACGACATGGAATCCCATAGTAGTACAAAGACGCTAGAGATAAGAAATTAAATTATATTCACTGGAACATCACAAAGAAATTAGATATCACCATGTTATTTGGTCCTCTGTCAAATGTCCAATTAAGCCGGGACAATCTTATTTCTACAGTACACGTTTTTGTACTCGTAATCAAATTATGGGCGGTTCTGCAAGCTCTCCGATCCCTGGCGGTGGGACGTCTGGGTACCACGTACTGCGAGTAAGTGCATTTCTGAACCTTTATGTGCTTGTTCAACCACATTATGAGTCGGGATTTGTGAAACTAAGTATTAAGAACCTCGTATATGAATTCTTATGTGAGGTTAACCTCACATTTTTGCGGGATGTTCTGAGAATGTCAAAAGTGCTTGTCTGAATTTCACTTGTTACAAAGCTTGATAGTTCCATGGATAATTTGCACCAAACCAAGACATAGCTATTCTACCGGTAACTCCGAAACAACATACAGAGGCAGATATATATTCAAGTAAACAGTAACTATAGGTTTGGTTTCACCAGTCACCAACATACATTTTAGTCTGAAGTAGGTAGTCAGTTTATTTCGGAAAGCTAAAACTTGTGGTAGATTTATGCATGTCAACTGATCTGTGGTTCTTAAAGTTGTTGGATGTCACGTCCATCCTCTCGTTCAAAAAGAATACTGTACACATTTTTACGTGTCACATTTGCAGTAGACCATCTGATTATCCACGTGTTTTATTTGGGCCATGTTCGGTCGTGTTTATTCAGGTATCATAGTCCGGCTGGTAACTTCGTTTCATGCTCTCTGCACATTAAGCGATGCAGAATAATTCCTTTCACAAATTCTGAAACCCTAGTAGTCCGAAAAGCAGCAGCAGTTGCTCAGCAGATTATTTCATCTTCTAGTTTTTTTGGGCTAATTAAAGGACAGCTCATATATTATGTTAAAATAGTCTCTCGCATAGCTGACATAAAAATGCCCAACCTATCCGATTGAGTACAGAAAATCAGAAGAGGCTATAAAGTGCATTTGAAGCTGTAAACTTATCCATATCGACTCAAATCAACGGAGAATTTCTGAGGATTTTTAAAATGCGAAATGATAATCCCAGCTCACTTTAGAGGGTCTTCTGTGGTTATGTATCTAGGTTCGCGTTAGAACATTTGTTTTAGATCTGAAAATCGACTCAGTGAAGGTGCAACATTACAGATGTTTAATCCTTATTCATATAAGTACCATAATTTATCTTGTTGTGGATATCTCCAGATTGTTTACAACCGCATCTAAGTAGTGTGGCGACTTCGACCGGCATAAACATCTATTCCAGACCCTACATTGCTTTCTATTTGCCGAGGTGGCTTGGACATGTTCTACGAATGTCGTCTCAGAGAACTCCTCGTCGTGCATTATTTGCCGACTCTGGGACCAGTTGGAAAAAGCGGGGAGGTGGTCAGTATATGACATGGTGTCGTGCTCTGAAAGGAAGCTGCAAAAGGCTGGTCCTTCACGACTCCCTGGATGGGGTCCGAGAGATGGTGTAACACAGTGGCTAGAAACGTTATCAGATATTGCTCAGAATAGAAGCCAGTGGCGATCCTGCTGTAACCTTCTTTTACTTTCTTCATAAAAAGTGGTTGTATCTTCCTTAACTGAAAGATTTCCTCTGATTGTACCTTTTCGTTATTGTACCCCATTATTGTTCTTTTTTTATAATTCCCTACGCTCCTTACCCTTCTTTCCCTTCTCTTTAAATTCCCATTGTTTTGTGTGGCGCATATATATTTGGTGTCCCCCTGTACCAATATTTGTGTGTTCAAATAAATAAATAAATTTGCCGAGTGGTTTTCGCTTTCAAATAATCTCTATCTACTCTGAGTTGGGAGGTCATATAGTATTAGTATCACTCACGGAACTGGCGTAATGCAGCATATGAACATGATTCATTTAAAATAATGGAAACGTATGTAAGCAGTTTGACAAGTGTAGTTGTTCCTTTTTTAGTTTGATAGTGCTTAGAATTTTTCAGGAAGATGGCTGTGTTGTTTCTTTTACTATTTGTTTACAAAAATCTGGAAAAAATGAAACTAGATGTTTCACACAAAAGCTTGTTTTCTTTTTAACAAAATAATTAAATTCGTTTGGTTGTTTTTATGACACCATCAAAATGCTCATTAACTTTAAAGGAATGGGGAAGGTCTTTGATCACACTTATTCTTAGTGGGGAGATGTTGGAATTGATTTTAAGTATTGCTTATCTAAGTAGTCATGTAAGTGGTTTCTCATGTGTTACAGACAAACTTCCTCTGTGTATGCAAATAGAGCAGTTTATGGTAATATGAACAATCTTTATTTTACATTAAAAAAATACTAGGTTCCTTACACTTAAGAGCGGGTATGTTTGGTCTATACAAATAAACCTAAGAATATCTAAGCTGTGTGTTGCAAGGCCTTGTATTCTGTGGTTCTTGCCTATAAATTATTTATTTATTTGAACACAAATATTGGTACAGGGGGGCACCAAATATATATATGCGCCACACAAAACAATGATAATTTGAAGAGGAGAAAAAAAAGGTAATGAACGTGGGGAATTATAAAAAAAAAGAGAAAGAGAACAATGATGGGGAAAACGGAAAGGTACAATCAGAAGAAATCTTTCAGTTAAGGAAGATACAACCACTTTTTATGAAGAAAGTAAAAGAAGGTTACAGCAGGATCGCCATTGGCTTCTATTCTGAGCCATATGTGATAACGTCTTTAGCCACTGCGTTACACCGTCTCCCGGACCCCGGCCAGGGAGTCGTGAAGGACCAACACAAGCTAGCCCTTAGCAGCTTTCTTTCATACCACGACACCATGTCATATACTGACCACCTCTCCGCTTTTTCCAACCAGTCCCAGAGTCGGCAAATAATGAACGATGTGGAATTCTCTGGGACGACATTCGTAGAACATGTCCAAGCCACTGAAGTCGTTGTTTCGAGATGGTGACACCAATTTCATTATCGTTTCTGTGACCGAACACACGATGCCGGACCTCTGCATTACTGACATAGTGTTGCCACTGGATGCCAGCAATCCTTCGGAGACAACGATGATCAAACACAGAGAGTCGTCTAACATCCTCAACTCGGAGAGAGAAAGTTTATCGTGGTTATGTTCTTATATGAAGTGTATAGTTTGCAACTTAGTATTATTGGTATTGTCATTTATTTCGCTGTCCTTTTATATGTCTACAATGTTTTTATTTTTTCGTATCGTGCATATCTTGGTATTCCATTGTGCCAAACATTCTTGTCATCCTATAGAAAGATAAACTATCTTTGTGCTATTAGGTAGTCATTTTTATTTTTGCTTACAATTTCAATATTCCATAGGTCAATGTCTAAACAAATTTACGTGAAACTTGAGCGAATCATATTTTTGCTTGAACAATCGAATACTATGTAGAAGTTGTAGGCATTGTAATGTCTTCACTTCACGATTATAGCGCATGTCTTCCACCTAATATAATTCAGATCCTTATATGATATCAATATACCCCCCTTCCATTGAGTTATTCGCGTCAGTCTTGCTGAAGTGTCTATCGTTTAAGCAGCAAAGTTGTTTTAATGATTCTAGCATATCATAGGAGGAACTAATCATATAGAATATATAACTTCGCAATGCTACTTGGACACTAAGAGTTCCACTAATCAAACAGTTTGCATGATCTGCATTTATTGCTAAGGTATGGACTAACTAGTAAGTGCGAAATATTTTACAAAAGCATCCAACTCTTCCGTCGTATGCATAAAGTAAATCAGGTAGTAAAGTGACTGTTGACTAATACAGTTGTATCCAAATACATACATCAATTAAATGCATGCTTAACTTTTCCTAGGTGAATGTCAGTCAAAACAGTTTTAAAGTAGTAGCAGTGTTTCGAAACCAATCAGTTATGTGACCAATGATGATACAGACTTCTAATGGTTAGCTGATAGTTCAAGCAACTCTGAACTTATTTTTCTTCGGTCCACTATAAGTTTTTTTAGTTTATTGAATGCGGATTAAAACTACTTTTTATACGTCAGTTATAAATAATGCCTTAAGCTCAGGTGTTTTAAAGTGTTTCTGTTGTTGTATATCACATCAGAAAAGCAACTAGAGTTCCTTGTTGTAATACAAGAGAAGCACCTTAGTGGTTAAAGGACTCAGCTTCAACCAGTAAGTCATAGGTCCGAAATACCCTCTACTTGTGAACATCTGAGTGGTATCACAATTCCTTATATAATTAATGTGGCTCAAATCCGAGTACATTAATCCATACTTATAAAATAAATGGCATCTTTTGATACCTAATTTCAATCAATGTCAAATTAATGTTAATAGAGAGTGAAGCAGTTAAGGATAGGAAGTAAAGTAGTCGAACACGTCCACAACTTCACATATCTTGGAAGTCTGATCAGCCCTCATGGGTTGATATCTGACGAAATCTCTGCATGGATTCAGGAAGCTCGTTTGGCTTTTGCCAACTCACGTCACCTATGGCGAAGGCAAAATATCCGTCTATCAATTAAGGGACGAGTATACTGCGCGGCAGTTCGTTCCGTTCTACTATACGGCTGCAAAACATGGTCATTAAGAGTAGAAGATACTCGTAAGCTACTAGTATTTGACCATAGATGGTTTAGAAATATTGCTGGCATCTGCTGGTATCACCGGGTAAGTAATATTGAGGTTAGAGGCAGGGTATTAGGGAATGATGGTAAATCAGTTGATGAGATTGTGAATCTTCATCGACTGAGATGGTTGAGCCACGTGTTACGTATGCCTGAACTCCGATTACCACGACACGCAGTGCTGATTAGTGTTGGGGATGGCTGGAAGAAAGTTATGGGCGGCCAAACCAAAACATAATATCGGTCCTTGAAGTCACTAACTTCTATTGTGAGCCATGTTGGTAGATGCAGACTACTTGGTTGGGGTCCGTGTGACTATCATAACCAATGGTTGGAGACTCTCAGAATCGATCACAATGGCGTCGGTGTATATACTCTCTGTCTTCTCTCTCTTCTCGCTTCATATCTTTCTTTCTACGAACTAATTCTTTCTTCTGTACTATATCCTTAAATGCAATCTTTCTTTTATATATTACCACCACTAAATTAACTACTTCTTGTGCTAATGAGTTGTGGCAACTTGAACCGATGCATATATGTGCCCGGCCTTACATTGTAGCTGACTGACTGACTAGTGATTATTGTTAATAAGCTAAAATAACTTTTAACATTTACATTGGTGACAACACGTTTGTACTGTTGAAAAAATAAATTTCCTCAGGTTCAGGACGGTTCACCTGGTCATCAAGCTGGTTTGGAAGCTTTTTTCGATTTCATTGTTGCAGTCGGCGACAAACGTCTGGTAGGTAACTTAGTTAAGATTTGTCTCTATTTTATTTTAATTATTCATATTTTTCATCTTATTAATCCGAAAGCTCACACTGTTTGCCTGGATGCTTATTTATTTATTTATTTGTTGTAGTCATGAAATATAGTTAATGGTATATGATGTTAAGTAAAGAGTTACAAAAACTAAATTACTGATACTGAAGCTGTGTAATATTTTATCAATATTATATACTAATAGAGACGGTGCTTAACTATTTTTTCATTTTGTACTGAACTACTGAAATCCATGCTTAGTAAATGAATCCAGTCTATTTTGTCCTCGCCGTTAATTCGTTTGGATATCGAATTTCGACTTGTTGCATTTATTGTAGTTAGCCAGTTCTTATTGTTAGCCGTCAGAAAATGCGCAAATTTCAAATTTGTTATTGAGCGCGTGGATTGTTTCATTCGTAGTAACCTATTTAAAATTGATTTAAAAGACAAACTTGGGCGATGTAAAACGCTAATCAGAAAAAAATTATTCAAACCACTTAAACTCTGCCCTGGGAGTCAGAAGGTCTTCGTTTAGAAGAATTATGACGCCTCATGATGAAAGCCGAGTTTCTTCGGAAGTCACGAGGCCAATGCCCCTTCTGACAACCAGAGCAACCATTTATTTAGGTACATGGAATGCTCGTACAATGTGGGAGACTGGGAGAGTTTTCCAAATTGCTGCAGAAATGAGGAGATACAATTTAGAGGTGCTTGGGATCAATGAAACACATTGAACGCAAGTTGGACAACAACGACTAGCTTCAGGGGAGCTGCTGTTATACTCCGGTCATGAAGAAGAAAATGCCCCACATACACAAGGAGTTGCATTGATGCTGTCCAAACAAGCACAAAATGCACTTATAGGATGGGAATCTCATGGACCAAGGATCATCAAAGCCTCCTTCAAAACAAAGAAAACGGGGATTACAATGAAAGTCATCCAATCCTATGCGCCTGCCAACGACTACAATGAAGACGTTAAAGATCAATTCTACGATAGGCTGCAGTCAATCGTCGAGAAGTGCCCAACAAAGGACCTGACCATTCTGATGGGAGACCTAAATGCCAAGGTTGGAATTGAAAACACCGGATATGAAGAGATCATGGGACGACACGGACTGGGAGAAAGGAACAAAAATGGTGAGAGATTTGCAAACTTATGTGCCTTCAATAAACTGGTCATAGGCGGTACTATATTCCCACATAAACGCATACACAAAACCACATGGACTTTACCAGATCACGCTACGAAAAACCAAATCGACCATATCTGCATCAACAAAAAGTTCAGGAGGACGATGGAGGACGTGAGAACTAAGAGGGGAGCTGATATAGCATCAAATCATCACTCGCTGGTCGACAAGATGAAATTGAAACTCAGGAGGCACTGGACAACGGGGCGAACAATATCACAAAAGTTTAATACGGCTCTTCTTCGGGATAATGACAAACTCAAAAAATTCAAGATAACCCTCATCAATAAGTTCCAGGACTTTCATGATCTACTGAATGGAGAAGGAACTACTATGGAGAGCAACTGGAAAGAAATAAAAGAGGCAATCACTTCAACATGTCATGAGGTTCTGGGACAAAAGAAGCACCATCACAAGGATTGGATCACGGTTGATACACTGGGTAAGATTCAAGAAAGGAGGAACAAGAAAGCAGCAATCAATACCAGTCGAACAAGAGCAGAAAGAGCCAAGACACAAGCTGAATACACAGAAGTAAACAAGCAAGTGAAGAGGAGCATCAGAACTGACAAACGTAAATATGTGGAAGATTTAGCAATGACGGCGGAAAAGGCTGCCAGAGAAGGAAACACGAGACAACTGTATGACACAACAAAGAAACTCTCTGGAAATCACCGTAAACCAGAACGACCAGTGAAAAGCAAGGAAGGCAAGATAATCACCAACATTGAAGAACAACGAAACAGATGGGTAGAACACTTCAAAGAACTCTTGAATCGACCAGCCCCACTGAACCCACCCAACATCGAAGCAGCACTCACGGACCTCCCAATCGATGTTGGCCCACCAACAATTGAAGAGATCAGCATGGCTATCAGACAAATCAAGTGTGGCAAAGCAGCAGGATTAGAAAGCATTTCAGCAGAGGCACTGAAAGCAGACGTAGCGGCAACTGCAAGGATACTCCACATTCTCTTCAATAAGATTTGGGATGAGAAACAAGTACCAAAAGACTGGAAAGAAGGACTTCTGGTCAAAATACCAAAGAAAGGCGATCTCAGCAACTGTGACAACTACAGGGGCATCACTCTTCTCTCAATACCAGGAAACGTCTTCAACAGGGTACTGTTAAACAGGATGAAGAACTCCGTAGACGCCCAACTTCGAGACTAACAGGCAGGATTCCGTAAAGATAGATCGTGTACAGACCAAATCGCAACTCTACGGATCATTGAGGAACAATCAATTGAATGGAATTCATCACTCTATATCAACTTCATTGACTACGAAAAAGCATTTGATAGCGTGGACAGAACCCTATGAAAGCTTCTTCGACACTACGGCGTGCCTGAGAAGATAGTCAATATCATACAGAATTCCTATGAAGGATTAAACTGCAAAATCGTTCATGGAGGCCAGTTGACAAACTTGTTCGAAGTAAAGACCGGTGTCAGGTAAGGTTGCTTACTCTCACCCTTTCTCTTTGTCCTGGTGATCGACTGGATCATGAAGAAGTCAACATCTGAAGGGAAGCACAGGATACAGTGGATATCTAGGATGCAATTAGATGATCTAGACTTCGCAGATGATCTGGCTCTTCTATCGCATACGCAACAACAAATGCAGGAGAAGACAACCAGTGTAGCTGCAGCCTCAGCAGCAATAGGTCTCAATATACACAAGGGGAAAAGCAAGATTCTTCGATACAACACAGCACGCAACAATCCAATCACAATTAACGCAGAAGATTTGGAAGATGTAAAAACCTTTACATATTTGGGCAGCATCATCGATGAACACGGTGGATCTGATGCAGATGTGAAGGCACGGATTGGCAAAGCAAGAGCAGAATATTTACAATTGAAGAACATCTGGAACACAAAACAACCGTTTGTCGAACAACACCAAAGTCAGAATTTTCAATACAAATGTCAAGACAGTTCTACTGTATGGCGCGGAAACCTGGAAAACTACGAAACCCATCGTCCAAAAGATACAGGTGTTTATTAACAGTTGTCTACACAAAATACTTGGGATCCGTTGGCCGGACACTATAAGCAACAACCTACTGTGGGAGAGAACAAATCAGATCCCAGTGGAGGAAGAAATCAAGAAGAAGCGCTGGAAGTGGATAGGACACATATTGAGGAAAACACCGAACTGCGTCACAAGACAAGCCCTCACATGGAATCCTCAAGGTCGAAGGAGGAGAGGAAGACCAAAGAATACATTACGCCGGGAAATGGAGATAGATATGAGAAAAATGAACAAGAATTGGATGGAACTAGAAAAAAAGGCCCAGGACAGAGTGGGTTGGAGTAAGTAGTTTAGTTTGATCTGGTGTTTTGGATTTGTAGGGGTAAAAAGTATATTAAGATTTTAAGGATTTCATCAAAGACGTTCGGGAGTTTCTGTCCTGTGTTATTCTAAGAAGAATGTATCTTTCAAGTATAAATCAATTATATCTCAAATATTTCACCAGTAAGTAATGACAATCAAACGGATATCCACTTGAAAGATTAATCAATCGTTAATAAATGCTGCTGTATAGAAGGAACACCTAAGAACTGGCAACTTCCAAAACTATCTTATGAAATATTAGCGAATTCATTCGCTGAGATTTTACAAATACATTTTTCGTCTTTAATGTCTCACATTAACTCGGCGCCCAAATATTGTGAAACTATTCGTTCAAATTTAGATGAAAGTTTTTATTTATTAATATAAATTTTACCATTGCTTAATTCTAGCTAATTAATTATTTGCCACTTGCCCTGTTCACTTCCAGTTTTGGTTTGTATATGTATAAACGATGTGCCCGTATATAAATGCATCGGTATCTGAAATAATAGAAGCTCCCCTACTGTGTTCTTTTGTTGGAACTCAAGACTGGGGACAGGAGTGGGTGTATCGGCAGATCAGTAGGAGTTAAGATTATCTCGGTCTCAACGCATGATTAGTTTTGTTAATCTAAACGTATTATCGGTCGAACCTTAAAGCGTTAGGCAATAGAAGAAACAGTACACAGGGGACATAGAAATTATCACCGGAATTCTCGTTGGTGGTTCTTCTCTATCTGTCAATTGGCGTCGCATTTATTACAAATCCATCTAGGTCATTGCAACCGATTCTGAACTTAAATCTCCAACTACTACTGGTCGTGGTTATTGCACAGACCTCATTGCTGTTGAATGAAGGAGTATAAATTTTCAATATATAAATAGTTAACTACATTTCACCATATATTTTTACTATCTATCCATTTTCCTTTATTTAGGAGGAAGATAATGACTGCATTAGAGATTTATTACAGGCCAATAAAGATAAACCTGTTCGCCTACTTGTTTATTCGTCTAAGTCTCAATCTTGTCGTGAAGTAACTCTAATACCCAATAATCATTGGGGTGGTCAGGGTTTGATGGGTGTCAGTATTCGATATTGTTCATTTGACAGAGCTAATGAAAATGTATGGCACGTATTAGGTGTAGAGTCTAAATCACCGGCGGATTTGGCTGGATTAAAACCATACACAGATTACATAATTGGTGCAAACTCCGTATTGAATAATGTAAGCTTGTTTTCGATGTATTTTTCCGTATATTTACTGGTTGCGCTTTATTTTTGTTGTTGATTAAATATATATATATATATATATATATATATATATATATATATATATATATATATATATATATAGTTATAGCGGAGTTTTCGGTTTGTAACGAATGCTTCTTGTTGTTTAAATAATGAACTGAGTACCTATTGATAGATTATTAACGGTGATACAATGTAATCCATTAATAACTGCTAACAAGGTCGAATTTTTTACAGAGGCCTCTAAATAAACTGATATCACAAGTCTATAGAGCACGTTCTTATTACTTAATAAAATAACAAAACTCGATGAAAAATAAACATGACCAAACGTTATGTAAAACATAAGTTCATTAGGTCACTCGACCACAAATTAAATTTAACATCGCCCTATCAGCATTCGTTCATTCCTATTGTATCATTACTTTTCTGAATTTGTAGCCCAGTGTAATAATGTGATATAACGAGAAGGGTTTTACCTAATTGAAATACGAGTAACCTACAAAATTAATTTTCTTCCATCATCTCGCCTGTTGATATCAGTACAATTTATGGGTTACTCCCATCAGTCGGTCTCATGAGCAGTTATCACGTGACCACATTGTATAACAGCTGTCGATTAGCATTGGATTTATTCATTCAACAATCCACGAACCTACTCTTAAAATCCTCCCCATAACAATTTGATACGTGGCTGAAATTATAAATCACACATTTGGTATTCCTAATACATACAGTGATGACTAAGTGGTTAAGGTGCTGGAGTTTAAATCGCTTTGTCTTACTTCTGTTTGGAGAGCAGATTATCGTTAGGTTTACACAAAGTCTGAGTGTGAGCCAAGCTCATAAACTTGCTCTTGGTGACTAGTTTGCATCAGCCACCTTCAGTCTCGGTTGTAAATTTGTAATGTATGTAGATGTAGTGTTCGTAACACAGTGCCTAACCATTTACATTCCAACTGATGATCTAAGAAGGAAGTAGGGTGAATGTGTCTGCACCGCTGAAACTAATTTTATATATCTGATATCAAGCGTAATAAGCAGTCAGCATTCATGGGGTGTATCAGTATCACATTCTGTAGCTATGAGTGTATCTCAAATCGGCATGTATCATTCCGGCTTTTATATCATCCTGAACCACGTTGCAGTGTCTCGCACTAATCTTGTCCCAAACCTATTAACAAACGTTTACTTTACATTCTGCTTACATATAAATTTTATCGTTGGGAGATAATACATGCAAATGAACAAATTACACTTAAATTCAGGAAGTTTTTTTATATAATCGTTGAATATTTTCCCTAACAAATAAGCCTTTTTCATGAGCTTATTGTCTTTAAATGTTTTATATACATCAATATATCTATGAAGAGAGATGATTTTTTCGAACTAATCGATTCTTCCGACGGGCACGTGATCCAATTGTATGTTTATAATTCTGAATTGGATTCATGTCGTGAAGTACATCTCAAACCTGATTCCAACTGGGGTGGGAATGGCTTACTCGGTTGTGATATTGGTTTTGGTTATTTACATCGTATTCCAACAGCAGTATCAACACTACCTGAATCTTCACAGTTACCGAATAATGCGCTGCATTATCCCCAAGAACCTTTGAAATCGTCAACTGTTACTGAATCAAAATTACCACCTGCGTCATCTAATGAAATTACTAACGGAGTTGCTGCTCCTTGTTATCCTCCACCTTCGTATACGTTCAACAATACATCATCAAATAAATTTGCTGAGGTGAGCGAGCATACATTAATAGCATATACACTTGATATGGTATTCCATTCTTTCTAGTGCGTTTGTGTATTATGCTGACGAACATGAAGATTTGGAGATTAATGATCTAAATTTGTCTCTCAGACTCGAACATCTATAGTTCATGTGATCCCCTAATCCAACGTATGACAATCTATGTACCGAAAATACTAAGTCCACTGTTCAACAATAACTAATACTATTAATGCCAAATTCATTTATGTCGTTTTTGTTAACCACATAAGAATAATTTGTGGGCACTAGTGATGAATGAAACAGCCAATTATAGGAAGTTAACTTTTAGATCATTCATTATCGAATCAATTAGGTCTGTTAGGTCTAATTTCGAGGAATCATATCTAAGATATGTCAGTATCCGTATGATTTACGTGTTGGTACGTAATAAATGGATCACTTTACCTTTTTTTGTAAAATATATTTTTGTATGTATCTGTAACTTATAGAAGTTACTACACTTACTAACATTTAGTCATCGTTTTTGTTAAAATAATTGATCAAACTGTAGCGTTGGTTATTTTGAGAAAATTAAAGAAGTCCTAACAAAGTATCAACAAAGTAATGTATAAAGAATTTTGCACTGATATTAATGTTTTTTTAACATATTTTTCAAAACCTATATCATTAGAATACGTTTTAAAGAATTTCAATCTTCAGTTTTTATCCCTATTTTGACTCGATTCGGGTTGTTACACCAATAAAACGAGCAAGCATCAGCTCCATTAAATTCTTTTTTTTGTAGGTTCCTCTAGTTTCTTCATCAATGCAACCCACAATACCGCCGTCATCGAACCCACCTCCAACTACTTATCCTACTCAAGTTCATGTAGATCATTTTAACTATGCTTACGCTCCCGTCCCATCTTCAGCATTTACACAAAATTCAAATATCCCGCCTCCTGCACCTCTTCCTCCTGGATTGACAAATATATTTAGTATGCCATCAATAAGTTCTCCATCTATTGTTGGTAGTGTTCCTGTTGTATCTTCAGATGCACCTTTGATTTCTTTCGAACCTACAAAAAATGTTGGAAATTCTCCTCAATATTCACAGTTTAATATACCACAAATGTCAAGTGCTCAATATTTTCAACCTGTCACTGATAATCTACCTACTTCTACCATGATTTCATTGCCTGGAATGCCACCATTAGACGTTAAAATGCCTCCTCTAGAAAGTATGTCATATGTTATAAACAGTTTATATGATTTAATCTAGAACTGTATGTACTACTAATTTTCTTCACTTCTAAACAATTAGTATTTCCACTAACCGATATTAAACATTGATTTCTTTTCACATATAGGACTAATTATTATCTGGGATTGTTTATTTCAATTGTTTGATATGTACAGTTATTTCAATTTCTATACCTATTAATTGCATACCCAGATAATAAGTAAGAAATAAATCTAAACAAATATAGGATAATACAAATATTAGACCTATCAAATAGCTAAGTAATGATGTAGCGGTAAACGCAACTGATTTAATGTGAATACTTTTATGTCAATCAATATATTGTGTTACTTTTCATACTATTTTTCAGTAGTTTATGTTCGTGTTTTTCAAACTCATCATTAAGATTTTTAACGGATTTTCAGTTTGTAACATTATCTCCTATAAACCTTTATGGATCAGATAAGCTAAGGATATAATAAATGTTATTGTCTATTTTTTTCATTTCCACATTTTCCATTCAGTGAATGCTAGTTTCATTCAGATTCTACAACATTATTCTAACAGTTGTTAATGCACAGAATGTTTCTGAAGACAGTGAGTTCATCTATATACTGACTGTTGAATTGGACATGTGCATAGATGTGTCAGGTCTTACATGGTTGTTTGATAGTGGATTATAAGATTTATTGTCACATTTTATAAGTAATATTCTATTCAGTAGATTTATACCCTAAGATTCAGTTTAGAATCCTGCTGTGATCATAAAATTCACCAGTTACACTAATCATCAGTAGTTCAATACATACTATTTTATATGTAAATTTTGAAAAAAGATAAAGTTGGTATCGTGTTTATTTAACTGGTTGATAATCAAGCTGAATATAGATACAATGAATAAATTTTTAAGGCTGGCTACTCTTATATCAATTATGCTCACACTACTAGAACTATTACTCTACATATTAAATTGAGCTTCTAAACTTCATTGTATAACTAATAAGTTAAAAGTTTAATTTACAAATCTGTTGTTATGTAATTCCTGACAAGTATACACAAATAGCAGTTATTAACATCTTTTCTAGTAAAGAATTGTTTTTCTTGTATTTAATACTTATAAATAAAGGTTTGGTGTTGGTTCTTGTCCATGTGTACTCCTTCTTGTATAGGATACCTTCCGTATTCAGATATTAGCAATGTATGATCTCGTTTATTGATGTTATATAAGGTTGTGTATAATTAGATGTATTGTGAAAAATTCTCCTATTCACTTGCAATCTACTTATCTATTGAATTAACTAGGTAACATGTAATGCGTATATATTAGTTCATAAATCCTGTTTACTTCAAATGAAACGAGCTAAAATGGAACATTTAAAGAATAAATAATACAACTTACGCCTGTTACTCCTCATGGAGGAGCGTAGGCTGCCCACCAGCACTCTACATCCAACCCTGTCCTAGTCAATCCTTTCTAGTTGTTTCCAGTTGCAATTCATCCTTTTCCTGTTTGCTTCCAATTCTCAACACAGTGCGTTGTTTGGCCTACCTGTTTACGGTTTCCCTTCAGGATTTCAAGTTAGCACTCGCCTCGTGATACGATTTGCTGATTTCCTCAATGTATGTTCTATCCACTTCCAGTGCCTTTTCCTAATCTCCTCTTCAGCTGTAAGCTGGTTTGTTCTCTCCCACAGTAGGCTGTTGCTAATGGTATCTGGCCAACGGACATTCAGTATCTTACATAGACAATTGTTTAGAAATACTTGTACATTTTTGATGATGGTTGCAGTAGTTCTCCAAGTTTCAGCTGCAAAAAGTAGGACTGTCTTGACGTTCGTATTGAAGATTGTGACTTTGGTATTGGTTGACAGTTGTTTTGAGTTCCATATGTTCTTCAACTGTAGGAATGCCGTCCTTATTTTGCCAATCCTCGCCTTTACGTCTACACAGAATCCTCCTTGTTCATCGATGATGCATCCCAGATACGTGAAAGATTACACTTCTTCCAGAGTTTCTCTATCAAATGTGATTGGGTTGGTGTTCTCTGTGTTGTATTTGAGGATCTTGCTTTTTCACTTAAGTATGTTGAGGCCTACTGCTACAGAAGCTGCTGCTGCACTGTTTGTCGTGACCTGCATTTGTTGGTGTGTGGTGGGATAGAAGAGTTAGGTTATCTGAGGAGTCCAAATTGTCTAGTTGCATCCAACCTGTCCATTGTATTCCGTGCTTGCTCTCAGATGTCGAAGTCTTCATAATCCAGTCGACCACCAGAAGAAAGAGGAAGAGTAAACAGCCTTGCCTGACTCCGGTCCTCACTTGGAATGCACCTGCTAGCCGTCATCCATGCACCGCATTACAGTGTAGCTTGTTGTATGAATTCCGAATGATGTTGATGATTTTCTCAGACACACCATCGAGTCGAAAAAGTTTCCATAATGTCCTCCTATCCATACTGTCGAATGCTTTTCCGTTATTAAGGAAGTCGATGTATAGTGACGTGTTCCACTCAATTGATTGTTCAACGATGATCCGTTATGTCGCGATTTTGTTTGTACATGACGTGTCCTTATGGAATCCGACCTGTTGATCTACTGTTTGATATTGGTCGCAGTCTTTTTCTCAGTTCTGATGTGTTATCTCTTTGCTTTAAAGACCATACAACCAGCCTTGGAAATCCGTAGGGTAAGTTATTTTTAAAACCGACTTTCTCTAACCCTCTCCTTCCGTTGTAAGAAAGGGGCATTGCTATAGGTGAAGTTTTTTTGAGGAAGCATCTTACTGCCACCACACTGCAGTACAGCTATCAGTATGACTTCACCCTCAGTTTTCTGCTTTTGGTCTTGCCACCTCTCCGACAGACGTGATTGTCCCGGTAGGGCCTAAAGGAACAACTGTTTCAGGTTAGATGGTTCAATTGGATCACCGCGATGTGGAAACCCTATCACAACATCAATTTAGCAATCACAATTGAGTGATAAATAACTGCCATCCTATCGAAGAATTATAGATAAATTCTGCTTTCATGTTTAACGGAGATTCACGCCATCTCTTCGATTTCAAGAATAATCTTATTGAGTTTTAAATATTTATTTTTAGGTCATCAATCCTCTCCTAAATAACAATCTTATTTGTTGTGGAAACGATGGGTAAACATTCAAGATACATAATTTTTTTCACTTAGTCTTTCTTGGCAACAAAAGGATATAGATATTGAAAATGTTATTTTTTGGTAAACAAAAACTTGGGTTATTTATCCGAATCTGAAGCAGTATTTGTTGCATCAAAGAATATGATGTAATAAAAAACACTGAATGATCTATTCCCATCCATTGCATAAGCACTATCGATCAAATATAATACGACAAATTTGTATATAAAATTCATTTGACTGTTAAATTCTCTCTTATTTTTAATTAATATAAAAATTATTTAGTACGTGAATAAAAAATTTCGTCTAAATTTGAATGAATAGTTTCACAATAATTGGGCGCCGAGTGAATGTGAGAGGAAGAATGTTGTATATATAAAATCTAAGCGAAAGAATTTGAAGTAAATCCAACGTTTCGCCTGGCAATCTGGTCTAAGCTTTTTCAAGGAAAATATAATCAAACAACAAAATTATCGAATTTATATTCGATAATGGTTTTCCGGTTTGCTGTATACTGAATATGTTATCCAATCGACGTGAACAATGTTAAAAGTAGGTATTTACTTTAGTGTGTAAGAGACATGCAGTGTGAAACGAAGTGTTAAGATAACAGATTGTGCGTATACGTAAGTGATGTATCTCTTACACACTAATGTAAATACCTACTTTTAAACATTGTTCACGTTGATTGGATCACATATTCAAATACAAATACATTCTTCCTCTTTAATATTTAATACATGTTTCTCAATTTTTATTTGTTTCTCTTCTTAGGTCTCAATCTTTCTACAAATCAAAGTTCATAATTAGTAAATTTGTTTTGTTAAACTAGTAAAGAAATAGCTTTTATCAATTCGGTTTATCGCGATTTACATCTCTTAGTCAATTATTGTTTTTCCAATATATATACAATGTGATAAACAATTTGTGGTTTTTAATTTGAAAATATATTCCTTTTTTTTTATTTCATGGAAATTGTTTCCGTGTTTACATCGCAAATATCATATTGTTTTGTGATATTATAGACTATCAGAATCATTATCAAGTGCCTCTTAAATAAATTAATGTACTCTAATTTTCTTTTCATACATAAATTTAATAAATATCTTTTTCTCATTTACAATATCTTTTCAATTGTGTAGTAATACTGTCATATGTAACATTATTATTTTCTTTCGTAGTTATGTTTTATTTGTTTTTCAATATTATTGTCTTCTTATTTATTTGGTTCTTGTGATTTTACATTGAAAAAAAAATATAGACAATGATCCGTTTCTTCCTTAAAGTTTGTTGGTTTATTTAACTTAAATGTGGTTCTTTATTGTATAATCAGTACTTCAGTTTTATGTACTATGTTCATTATTATTAGTGTTATATAATTTTCCGGATATAAAAGTCCTCTTCTTCAACGTAGTATTCCACCTACCAATTAGTTGATTTAACCCATTTTTTTGTGTGTACCGCTTTGATAAACTATGGTATGGGTGAAAAATTGGCTGTTTATATCAATTTGTACAGATATTACGAATGATAATAATGTCAACAGATGTAGACTGGGTAGCTTATACTTAGATGTGGAACAATCTGAAACCTTTTGAGATTGAAATTACGTAATTCATGGCATTTAGTGGGTTGTCTGAATTATTGGTGTCTTCCTAGTTGTTTCGTCTCATGATTAACCCACCGATTACTTGATACATACTAATGAACACTGTAACATCCTCAAGTTTGGACGAAATTTGGATTGTAACTGAAATGGCCTTGTACAATTTGTAAGACAAAATGTCCAATCACATACATCAACTAAAGTAATCCAATACAAATGAGGATTCTAAAATATAGTGCTAATGATTTATATACTTTATGACAATTACTGCATGGACAGTCGAATGCAGGAAGTTCTCTGATTTGTTAAATTGTTTCCACTTCTAGTAAGTGATTCGGACGCTTAGAAATGTACGTACGATAGACAAAACATTTCCGCTTTTTGACTGAGTTCGTGTTTTCCGTCGTGAATTTAAAATAAAAAGACGGACGGTGATGGTTTACGGATAAAGTTTTAAATAGACTCACCAGTCAGTAACAACGTGGAACTCCGTACATCAGTTCGAGTTGCCATACCACATTAGCACAGAGATTCAGTTATCGATTCAAATCCCGTAGTGGCAGAGTAGTGAAAGTATAAGTAGTAATAGGAAACATTGGGGTTTAATGATGTTATTCAAGGAGTATAATCCAGTGGAATATATTTGGAAAAAAAATAAAGGACATGAAGAATCCAGAAGATTAGAGTTTGAGAGAACACAAAGAGTGGATGCACCTGCGCCATTGCAAACGATTTTGAGCCATGTGATTCAAGATCTCTAACCACCGGTTACTATCGTCTCGCAGACCCCAACCAGGTAGTCTACATCTACCAACATGGCTCAGTCCACTTGTCAGTGACTTCATGGATTTGTGCCATGTTTTGGTCTGGCCGCCCCTAGCTTTCTTCCAACCTACTCCTACACCAGAAAACATAGCACGTCGGAGCAGTCGGTGGTCTGGCATGCGCAACACATGTCCCAGCCATCTCAACTGATTAGGTTTCACTACTTCCTCAATTGATTTGCCATCCTTACCTAGTACCCGTTTCATAACAACTGCATTACTTACTCGGTGGTCCCAGGATATACGAGCAATGTTTCGAAGACACCTATGATCAAATACTAGTAACCTACGGATATCCTCTACTCTTACCGGCCATGTTTCACTGCCATAAAGTAGGATGGAACGAACTGCTGCACAGTAAACACGTCCTTTGGTTGATAGACGGATATCTCGCCTATGCCACAAATGACGCAAGTTGGCAAAAGTTAGTCGAGCCTTCTGTATCCGTGCTGAGATTTCGTCACACACCAGACCATAAGGGCTGATGAGACTTTTGAGATAAGTGAAGCGGTCGACACGCTCAACTACTTCACTCCCTATCACTAGTTCGGGTGTTGATGCAACCCAATCCTAAATATACTACTACTGTGTGATTGACGGGTTACCTAATATTGATTGTTAATGGCGACACGTATGAAAGATACTGAGACATTATTGTGATGTTTTAGTAAAGCAAGCCGAAGTTCTGTGCTGACCGACTATAGTGTCATCTTTTCTTACCCAACCTTGTAAGGCACATGAAAGTATAGTCAATATTAGGAGAATGCAAACTACTATGAAAGACTTGAATCAGAAAGTACATATGGGGAAGCCTGAATGGATGGTTGAACTGTCATCCCTACATTATGTGAGATTTATTCACTGATAGGGTGTACGAAAAAAGTAGAATTTCTCGGGTAATTCAATATACAAATTTTGTTTTTTCATAAGAAGTGAGACCTTTCAGCTATCATGAAATGAGATTTGAGTACTTTCGATATAATGAAAAGAAAATTCAATTTTCGATTGATTTACTCATTATGATTTTTGTTCGAGATTACTCCCGTTTTGATTCAGTGTAATGATTACTCAATGTAGTAATTGTTTTCTTTTCTTGTATGATATTTTATTCTGTATAATATGCGATATTCTTGTATTCCATTTATCTGAACTATGCTCAGTATGTGATTTGTTATAACTGAGTATTTTTCATATGTGATTTCATCCTAATTATTAATCAAAATGGGTGTACAATCAATACATAAATGAGTGTATTTCATACTAGAATCATCATAGTCGTCATAGTGTTTTGGGGCTAATAAATCTTCACTTATACCAGCCTTCTTGTTTCTTACTTTTACGTCGTGGTAATTGCAGAGGTCCCCCGTGCCAAGTGTAAGTGATCAGCGTTTTTTCCAACATAACAATCAGCGACGACCAAATATTCAGTAGATCCAAGCTTTTGAAGTGATAGACATACTATTTACAGATATTCTCGACTAACCAGTTCAATATGAAATAAGCATTTTGAGGTAACAATAAAGCGTAACATTTGGAGAAAAATATTAATAGCAATCTGCTCCGTAGATGATATAGTGATAGGTGTAATGAACTGGTTCAATGATGTTAGTCAGCTCGAATCTGCAATTTTATATACTATTACTTCAAAAATTAATATTCATAGAACTGGGAGCTGTCTTATCAATTGTTAAAGGATTATACAAACTTCAACGAGACATAGTAATTCAAATAATGGTAACTAGGTTAGCACTGTGCAGAGTTAGTAACTAACCCTAACAAATCAGAAGGCAAACATATCTGACGTTACTGCATTAATGAGAATCTCAGCGTAATGCTGAGATTTTAGAACGCGGTTGAAGAATCAAAGAATACTATTTCAAAGATCCTTTGTCTGGTCTAGTCGAGATGTCTTAAGATACAGCATTTGTTGACGATGGCTAAGCTGGTTTGTTTGATGGAAAAACAAAATTTGGTCCACAGATTCACTAGTTCAAATTGTCACAATCATACTAATAAATAAAGCAACATAACGAAAACCTAGTCGTTACCTAAATGAGTTCGAGTCCATTGATTTAGTCATACTTCAGTTTATATTTTAATGTGGTTTCCTAATGCATTAACCCCTGCTACATTATTAACGTTCCATGTTTGTACTTTTCCGTCAGGTATTTTACTGTCTTGAGATAATTATTCACATATAAAGATCTTGTGTCACAGAAACTTAACAAATATAATCTGTAAGTTCATATTCAGATTTGCAAAAGTAGAAGAATTCGTATATAAAAGACACGCATAAGTGGCCTACTAAGATGCTTTGTTCAAGTCTTCAGGTAGACAGCGAGTAGAATATTCTTATAGCACAGGAAAACATCTTATTAAATTCGTGAACCGACTTTAGCAATCAATGGTTTTAAAAATTAACTCATGAACATCAAGCTAACGAACTCGTAGTTCTCCCAAACCACCGCAGATAAATCGTTATTGTATTGCAACAACTTTCGACATACTTTAGTCACCTACACTCAAAAAATACTTGAGGAATCAACAATAATTTAAGCTAGTGATAAAAAGACCATGTATAACCAGTATTAAGCATTTTTTCTCCTTGGATACTGATTCACTCTTCCTAAGTCAACAAGATCACTTTTAATCAAGTTTCCTTTCCAGAAAGAAGTACCCTTCACAGTGCGGACAAATACCTTTATACAACTAATAAATTGTGACTAACTAAATTTTGTGATGTATAGTCTCGTAGATACCCTGCACACATACACATCTGTCTACATTTTAAATCGTTTCTGTACTATAATCGCTACATCAGAAACAATGATCACTGAAGTAACAAAAATTAATTTCTAATAAAAATCAGAAATACAACAGAAAAATGGTGCATATTTATTTATATAAATATATATATATCTGTGAATATCCAAAAAACATCAACAAAATGTATAAAAAATAACAATATCGATATCATTCACAAATGAATCAAAGTAACTGCACATTTCAACCTTTTTTTTATCAGTTAAGAGTAGTATGTACAAATAATCAAAACAAATAAGAGAAACACCATACATGTTTAATTAAAACACATACTCAGACACACACACAGAGGTATAAAGTTTATCGTTGATTTTGGAAGGTAAAACCAATTTGTTGTATAAAACAAAAGGAAGTGATTGTTTAGTTCATTGAAAGGAATATTAAGTATAACGATTAGTTATTTAATAAAACTTCCTTTTAAGGTACTAAGAATGAAAACTCGTATAACAAAAAAAAGAAAAAGCTTTATATCACAAGTACTTATTTATTCTCATATATGGAAGGTAATTCAGTTCCAGCAATTGAAATTAAATCTTGACGTCGTTGTATAGTGAATTGTTTTTTAGAAGGACGAATTTTTTTAGGTTGGTTAGGTCGACGACGTCTATGACTACCATTGACAGTAGTATTATTCCAAACATCATCATTGGGATCCACTTCATCAGGATATATCGTCTCATATTTTAATTCTTGATCACATTCATGTTTTAATGAGATTTTAGGTGATTTATTCATTATATCTGACGGTTTATTGTGTGATTTACTTAGTTCGAAAGAATAGGAGTGCATAATATCACCACGTTTCCATCTACTATTCACATCCTAAACATAGAAAGTGGACAGATGCGAGTGAAACATTATACACCATACAATAAATGTTTTGGTAAACTTATTCAATGCAGAAATGTGTCTCATCATTATTCAATTAGTAGTTATTACACTTTAATAAACCAATCTCAAAAATCTCTTGTGATAAAGTTCAAACAATCCAATCAGTCAATACGTTTAATAACTCAACTTTAGTGTAATTAGCTTCAAATATTCCGGAGATACAGATTGTATATTAACAGTACATTTTGAAACACATTCCACATAATCTAAAGCTTACGAAAACCAAACGAATAAAGAAAAATTTAAATCTTCATCACATAGCATGATGTAAACGTGCTCACCACATAATCAATAAAGAATATATCTTCAGTTTGATTTACAAAGAACATCTCAAGTAATACAGTTAAACCTTGTCATTTATTTCGAATAAATTGAGCATTGGGTTGATTGTTATAAATAAATAATATATTTATGATATCCCAATTAGTAGAAAATTAGTTTTTCTGACGTTTCGTGTCAGAAAAACTAATTTTCTACTTGTCATTTATGTAAACAAACAAGTTCAGTAGTCAATGATCAATTATACTGTATAAGCCTTATCTTTCATCAAACTTTTATTCTAAACTATGATTACAATTTGTTAGTTTTAATTTGAATTTTTCTATGATTAGCCCCTCAAAGTCATTTCATTGAAGACAATGAATAACTAGATAAGTGTTGTAATTTAAACTGGTGGGTTTAATTTTCGAGTTGAATATTTAAAAAAATAACCATGGTTATTAGTTGATTGTTAAAAACAGATTTTATTAGATTTCTTTGTATAGTATCAAAGTCTAATAAGTGTAACCTCTTCTCCTGGATTGTGCACATTGAACAATGTACACGCTTTCAATATTAAAAAAAACTTTAGTTTATTTGAATTCAATGATGAGCAACTATAAACGCATAGTATATCAGAAACATATTGAAACCACTTACTAAATTCTTTGATTTATTTGCATTTTGACTAAACCGAACATGTGGTTTTGTTGAATTATTCTCTTGAATTGAAATTTCGTCTATTTCATTATTATCAATACTAGAGGTATTCCAAATAGGCCACCATGGACAATTTGCTTTGTTAATCAATAATAATAAAAAATTACCAACAAAGTGAGCAACTATTCACAAATAGTACTTAGAATGTGATTTAACGATTAAAAAAACGGGTATCATATATAAGATGTGATTTTTATCCATTGCTAATATGATAGGACAAGAATTAAGTGTGATAATAAGATATTGAAGACTGAACAACATATAATTTATGTATACACTAAACAACTTCGGATCGTGTTTACAGTTTTATCGAATATTTTGTATGTAAGCATGTAGATTTTTCAAAAAACAAAAACTTAGCAGTTGTCTTTTCTTTTAATACCCCCTCAGTTTGGGGCTTACATCAATTATTCAATCTTATGAACATCTACCACTTGATCATAACGTAAAGTCTATCTATCGGCATTTTACTCATTCATTTGAAGGACTATAATTCTTATTCCAATTAATAATCATTCCATGCCTAGCTATATGACAACCACTGTGAATATTCATCCTTGCCAACAAATGAAATCAAATGTTTGTATGTTAAGCTAATAAGAGATGATATTCACACTTGCTATTAAATAAAGGATATTAATTGTCAGTAGTAGGCTTTGAGTTTTGACAAATGACAGTGTCTCTAGTTAACAGGTTTATATAAGGGATAATATTTTACTTACATCCTTGAGATGGTGAAGAAGATTTGTAGCTCAGGTGGATGATTTGATCGTGGAGCTTTTATATAGAAGTTCATGCTGATGACGTCGTTCATAAGAACGATGAAAGCTCCATGATCAAACCATCCAGCTCAGAGAACAAAACTCCATCAAAAACTTATATCCTTGAAACTATAACATTGTTAGTTAATTCACTTAGCATTAACACTTGGACATTACTATTTCTCTGTATTATACTGAAAGACTTATTGTTATCTCACAATAAAATTTTCTTAATTTAAAATAAATACATAACAAGGATCATGATGAAACCACATAGATCTATAACAATTATGAACAATTAACAAAAACATCTATTAAAGTTACTGTATTAACTGACGAGAACTGATTAGACATACAGTTACTCAATGGATTAAATCTACAAAACATACTCGGAAATAAATCTTTACACAGAACTGATTAAACTTAATAGAAAACAAAATAATGAATGATACAATGAAGAAGGTGGACAGCTAGGAGGAAAATGACAACTTCAGAATAGATTACAAACAGCAGAAGTGCAGTTTATGGACGATCTGATTAGAATTAAGAAACAAACTGTTGTGTATTTGCCCAAATTTTTCTTTTAAACAACATGATGACACATTTTTCACCACATAAAGTAAGCAGTAGAAATATCTCTATGTAGTTCTCCAAATGTTGAAAAATATAAGAAGTTATTATTGAAATCATAGATTAAAAATGAGTGTGAAATGTATCACATATTTATTTCTTTTTCGATATAGATTTCATATAACATGATAAATTCCACTTTCCTTCCCCCTCTAATTCGAACGCTAACCAGGAACACTGTAGGGTTGCTAAAAGTTTATTTGAGTACCTATAAGGATCTGAAAGACGATATTTTATATTCATCTAAACAAATTCATTAAATATATAAACTTTATTTACCCTTTAAAACATTGTTTCAACCCGAAACTATTCATTTTCAGTAGATGTTTTCTAAATGACTAAAAGTAAGCTGATTATTTTAATATTTATGCTTAACTTACAAGTCAATTTCCATGGATTAAAATAAATTTAACAATAATACTGAAAATGTACCTATAGATACTTAGCCTAAGCAAAATATTATTATCATAGGTATCCAGAATTTCTTTTATTTTTATTGGAAACCATATTTAATTAATCATATTACTATAAATAACCATAAACAAGAATGTATTTATTAAGTATCACTATCAATCGTTTACTATATAAAATATTTTTTATTCAAAATAGATGTGATATACTATAATTTTTTACTTATCATGTATGTGTTTGGGATGTTAGATCCTTAGAACTCACTTGGTAAATACCTTATTTTTTGTAAATTTTTTTTTGAAAGTTTGAATTTCTTTGTTTTTGTGCCAAAAGCGCTCTTTTCACATTCATACCGTATTTCCTAGTTGGGAGAATGTTAAACGCTATTGGTCTGTAGTATCTTTTAGTATGCTATTTTGTTTATGCTGTATATATACGTTTGATTTTTGCTTGCTGTTATCGCTTGAGCTTCTAGTTGCTTGAGGAATATATTTTGCCGTTTGAACTTCGATTTCTCTCTCTAGTTAGTGGGACTGGGACGTGTCAGAATAGCTAACTTATTGGTCTTCGGTCACATAGTCTTTGTTCCGTTCGCAGACTAGGTGAACTCGTAATCGCTTCAAACATAGCAGTATGATACATGAATAAGTAAACTATACTTTGGCTTACAGTGGTGACACTAACTATACATATATTTCTTGTATAGAAAAGTGCTTAAGACGAATCCAATTACATTGTAAATAAGTATGTTATAATTTGAAATAAAAAAGAAAACGACTAAGCAACAACATATTAATACGAAAAATAACATAATAAAATCTTATAAGTGATTGGAGAAAATCAGTTTGTAGATCAATCATTCTCCAATCAGTTTAGACTTTAACTGTTAGATCTACTTCTTATACATAATTATAGAATTTCGTGTAACGAGTTAAAAATTTACACTTTTGATGAGTTTAAAGTAAGGAAGAAACAGTCTTTAATTTATATGTGAAGAATTTTACAATGTAAGATTGTCAGTATTGATAAAACAGTATTTGCCTTATGTTTTAAAGAAAGAATTGACTAATTCACTTTCATTTAATGTATATCTGGAAAAAGTGATAATGCTTTAATATTCGGATTGAATCAGTATTATTAATCGTTTTCTATAATATACAACAATTATGCATACATTGTACTAACCAGAAATCTGATACAAAGAAAACAACAAGTGATAACATACATGTGTAGTCTACCCTATCTATAATATTTGTTAATGTTTAATTTACAAACAGATATGCAACAGATTACATAATACAATCATGATAAATGAAAAATAGAAACTCTATTTACAAAGAGAAAAAAATTATTTAACCGCTTACTTGGAACACCGACAAACACTTTACAGATTAATTTTGGAGGTAGAAATTCCGAAAAATTAATAGTATCAGTAAAGTGTTTATTACATAAACCATAGATAAGCAGTAGAAGAGCAGGAAAACGCATTGTCCAATAAATTGCCATACCTTCTTGATTATAACCATAAATTGCACGAATGTGTTCTGGTAATGACCAGAAATGATTATGTTTATTGCGTATTGCACGTAGAAGGTATAAAAGAGAAGTGTCCTAAGGAGTAGTAATGAACAAACAGTAAGAACAATGTTGTGACCTTGGTTATTTATATAAGATCGCAAACAAAATTGATTAAACAATAAGTTTATTGAACATATAGTATATTCTAAGAAAATTAAAAGAGACCAAATGTATTTAGAAAAAGAATACATGAAATACAGAGAATATTGATATAAAGTTTTCATATCATGGAAACAAAAACACACACACACAAAGACTTACTTGATAGCTTCTATTACTTAATAAATTATCAACCAGTTCAGGTTCTAGTCTAGCGAACCAATGTTCATTAAATACCCAATTTCTATAACGAATAAGATCATTTAACATTTGTTGTTGATGATAATTATCGAAACGTTGTTGTCTAACTGACTGATAATTAGTAGTAGATGCACTACCTCCATTATTATTATTATTATTATTATTATTATTATTATTGTCTTGGAGGCAGTTTCCGTCAGCAGAGTCAACTGAATGATTAGTAGCAGTGTAACTTTGAGATGTAATGTCAAATGACAAATCTTTAATATCCATAACATTTGATAATTCCTTGATATAAATGAGAGCAAAGAAATAATGGTTATTGTAGGAATTATGTAAATAAGTAAATGAAAGGATATAATTCCAATGCCCTTATTTCTTATTTTTTTTTACAGTTACAATACTAGATTTAAAATATTTCTTAGTAGAATAAATTTGAATAGCACCTAATAATAATGAAATGGTAGTATACATTTATGTCATGTGAATATGAGGATTAAAGATTTTTGAAAATAGACGAAAGTAAATTAATCGATCGATTCGGAAGCATTTGAATGTTGTAACTACTAAAGAATGTAGGTTGATCTCCAGTCACTTCACATCCCTTAATATATGAAGTTAAACTAGAATATATATAACCTCAGTGAAATAATATCCCGAGTAAGCAAGCCAAAAGGGAAACAGTGATTTTTTTTAATGCTTAAAATATGGGCATTTTCATTGTAGTCTACAAGATAATCTTTGACAAGATGACTTAGAAGCACACAGTAATGATTCGAATCTAGTCAATCGCTTTATCATTTAGCCCTTCTGTTTATTTGAACATTGTAATCTAATCAATTTTCCACTACATTTAAAACAATTAGTCCATTTGATAAACTTGGATAATACGATAAGAAAGCATAGTTAATCACAATTATGTGAGATAAATTAGCGTGATCCATTTTGAATAATTTGAACACACATATACTTGTTAAGAAGTTTTTACTTGAAAAATAAAAGGTAAACTAGGTAAATTGGAAGGTAAGAGGCAAATAGAGATAATAAGGAAAAGGATCAATATTAGCAGGGTAAGCTTAAAGTGAGAAGAAATTATTTTCTAAAACATAAACCAGCTTTGAATTTCCGTCAAGTTACATGGTATAGGGACTTCTGCTTAAGAATAACCATTTTTCCTTAATGTTTCAGCTAACAACTCTACCTTTTACTCAATAGTATCCCTAGTGTAAATGCACTTGAATCTAATGTGTTAATGTTATCATGTAGTCCTGATAAACTTCATCTTCTCATTGTATTATCCAAATTTTCATTTCGTCAAAGATAGAATTATTTTATATCAGAAGGGTTTTGTGGATATTATAGCAATTTCAATGGTTGAGATCATGAGTCAATTGGTAGTCTAGCTTCCATTGACTCATGATCTCAACCATAGAATTATTTATTTAATGTATCTACAGTTATGTGCATTTATCACAAATTGAAAATATTTAATGGAAATGAAATTTAAAAACAGTGAAATATTTACGAATTGGAAATCTATTTTAATCAAAATAATAAAACAATCAGTTAGATTTTGAAAAAAAAACGATTAAAAACAGAACCATACATATGTATATCTTACCGATATGAAGCGTATGACTTTATTTGGTGACCAAAACAATGGATAGTAAGTGATCTCTTCGGCTGTTGGTCGATCGTTAGGATTAGATGAAAGCATTGTTTGTACAAGGTAACGAGCTAAATAGCCTAAAATAGAGATGAGATGAGACAGAAAGGTACAAAAAACAAACATAATAAACCTCAGATTTTGAGTGCACAGCTATGTATGAAGAAAACAAAAAAATGTCACTATCAATAATTAACAACAATAAGTTTTTCCAACATTTCTACTTTTATAACACAGTACGAAGTGAAACCAACTGTAAATTGGTAATGTAAATAACACAAATTTTTAATATCACTTTATACATATATACAAGCTGCTTAATATAAAATCCTACAATTTTTATCAGTGATGGCATTACATATGGAGAATATTTGAAAGGAAACGTCAGTGAAATATATCTTTGATTGTTTGATATTAATTATTTTATAGACAGGATTATTATATGATAAAGCAAACTATTATGTTCCATATTCACATTATGAAAGGAGAAAAAACAGTATCAAAAGGTGAAGTAAATTGATGTAAGGCAACCGGGATTCTCTTCATAACACGTTTCGTGATGAAGGATAAAAACATCAGAATCACAACTTGATAACTCTATTGATAAACGAAAAGAAGCCATTTGAAAAGCCTCAGTGTGATATGTAGTTAAAAGGTAGAATAATTTGTCGAATTCTCCAGACTTCCTATGTTGTACAGCATTTACCAGTTCTGTATGTCACTTTGTTTAATTGTCAACGTCAATTACTTTGCTGTTGAACTAATTTTAGAGAATGTGTATTTGAACTCAAAATATTGCACAAGAATCTGGAGTTTTTACTTTTTCTATTCCTATAACATTCATCATAGAAAGGCATTCTAACAAGTTTACATCAATTTTGTAAAATCAGGAACGGATTGAGAACATGATATAAAATGCGATACATATATTTAAAATAATTCCTTTAACTACTTATCAAAAGTAAGTAGTAAGACGTCTGTGAAAAATTTTCAAAATTGGGTCAACGGAATTGAGAATGAGTATCATACATCACAACTACTCAAAACAATTCAGTGGTTATTAGTAATTTTTTCACGATCGTAAACTACATTACCGTGTTGAGTGGGATTATTATGAAAGAAGGTCTGGAAAGAAAATTTGTTGTTTTGTAGAAATGATTTCTTTTGCATTTCTATATATAAAGAAGAGTAATTCATATAACATTAAGATAGCCAATAAGTACCATAAACTAAGATGAAATTTAATAATGGAAGTGCTTAAAAGATACGACATTGGTAAACTTCCACTTCAAGTGGTATAAGTAAAGATATAGGAGGAAGAAATCTCAAAGAGGGAGATGTGTTATATGGGGTAAGTTAATACATAGCACATGACATCCATAAGGACACTTGGTAAGTGAAAAATGCTTGGTAGGTTTACTATTAGCGGGTAGATTATATATATATATATATATATATATATATATATATATATACTTGTGTGAGCCATTCTAGTATCTTATATATGCAAAAATGACTCGTGTGAACTTTACGGTTGGAGCTTGCTACACCATCTTTGACTTCTGACTCTGTATAACTAGCTAAAAGTGTTAGAAAGAGTATTAGCCAGTAAATAGTCATTAATACTTAACAATATATAACTACAAAAAGAGTATATAATTAATTGTCATGATTGATTATAGTAGATATTTTCATTGAAAAGACTAGTAGAAATTGAATCCCACTGTTAGCTACAATTCAAATAAACTGGAACTTATATAAAACAGATAGAATATGGTTAGCAGTGGAATACCAGGATATGCGTTTGACACTATTTGAGACTAAAACTTAAAAGTAAAAAGCAATATTGAGGGAGTTATTTAGGAAGTACATATAACAACAAACTGATCGAAATTAAATCCTGACTAATAACAATAGAAAATCACACAAAGTAAATAGCCATTAAATTGCCAACTGATTATCGGATCCAAAATTTCTTTTCGATTATTATATAATATGAGAAATAAGGCACAATAAACATTCAATCACTTTGATTACACAACCAAGTCTTTTTTCTCGACTTTCAGCTTTTAGGTGACTAGCTTGAACTCTACTGAGAATTGTAGATTTTTATAGTGTGAACGAAAATAAGTATATAGTAGTAGTAGTGAACTGCATTATTCTGTTCAATTTAATTAGACGTGAACTAATCTACAAAATGATGAACCTGAATAAACAATACAAGATGCTACAGCTTAATAAAAAACAAGGCTATTGTGGACAATCGTATTTTTTATTTTCTTCTTACTCTAATGATAAAATGACTTGTTTGTAAGGATTTGTACGGTAACATCGAGGCAATTCGGTTAGAAAGTATATACACTACTAGAAAATGATAAATTGTAGTCCGTAATAACAAACAATAGAAAAATGCAAACCATTAAAAACAAAATTCATACTAATCGCACAAGCAAGTGGCTATCTGGACTTGGTAGTTCAGTGAATAATGAAATTAACCTTTGAATCAAAACGCATCAGATTTGAGTCTTAATATAAAGATTAATACTAGAATACAAGTACATTCAATTGATGAGTTCCAAGTAGGACGGCACACTCGTCAGTTACTATCCAAACTTAATAACATACCTATCTCTTATAGAATATTTTGTCATGCTCATTTTTTGTGTGCCAAAACTTCATGATTTCCGTTGTTTGCAAGTATAATCACCTTTACAGTTTATTTTATTTTTTAAGTCAACACTATTCATTTTTTGGAAAAAAAGTTCATACTTAAATAAAATTAAACAAAAATTGAAGGTGAAAAGTATGCCAGTTTGACCTATTTCTTCTTCTTCTTCTTCTTCTTCTTCGCATGTTTTATTCTCACTGCTTACGGGAGTAAATAAATAAACAATAATTTAAGAAAGAAAATTTGTTTATATGTTCAATTCTAACAAGTCTTGTGTACACACAGATGTTTCATAGGTTTAACTGGAAAAAAAATTTTGTAAACACAATTTATTTAGTGTTTTTGTCAATGAAAAATGTGTGAATGAATGACGTTGTTTATTTTTAATAAAGGTTTCAACAATGGGTGTGGTTGAGTAAAATAATAATAATAATAATAATAATAATAATAATAATAAAAGTCCTCCAGACTAGTAATCTTATTTTATTAACTGAGCTTTACTCATTTTATTCCTATCAGCGTTTATGCATCATGCAATCACTTGCTACTGGCTGTTTGAACTCTTGTCAAAATAAATGTTATAAAATTTTTCTTTACATAAGGTGCATATTTATAATATTGAGTCTATCAAATTTATTTACACTCTTGCTATATTATACCAATGTATCTTCAATATAACTTCCAACTAAACTCTTTCATGTAAGTAATTTAAACTCATTTTGTAATTATGATTTTAAAATATCACAGGTTATAAGTAGCTGACGACAACCAAACGAAATAAAAATGAATTCATGCTATTCTGCTAGAATCTTTGTTCTTGTTCTTTTCAAAACGATAATGGGAACCATGTGTATGAAACAGCTATAAGTAACTTTTCGTTACATAAATTAAATTATTAGCTACAAAATCATAGGAAAAAAACAGGTGCTCTACCCATGAGCACGATACACATTGTGCCGGTATTATTCAACTTGAGTCGATTCGTATACACCGTATGATAATGCAGTGGATACTTTCTAAACCTTAGCAATAGTTGACAATCAGTGAGTCTTGTTATTTACTACTTTATACAAAGATCGTTATAATCAAAATGGGACAAAAGAAGCAAATAGGAATGACCAGTATGAAGTAAACAGTAGAATGAACAAATAATGACTTATGAAGATAACGGAATAATTGATTTGATAGAATACTAAAATGGTGTTTGTTGATCAAACTGATAACTTATTCTCAATGTGAAGCGTCAAAGAAGTTCCAACAGTATAGATTTCCAAAATAAAACAAAACAGAACTACAAGACAATTTATATTAAGGAGTTAAAGTTATTATTTCTACACGGGATATTTCATTGAGGTAGGATGATTTATCAGATTACAAACGATTAATCATGGATGAAGAAGTAGAAGTCACGAACTAATCAGCAGTTCTTTACTTTTGACCATTGTAGAAATTACCACTCGTGGTTTATCAGTGTATTCATAAGTTTAGATTTACACTTCATCTCAGAACCTATTTATACAAATTCAACCATAAAGTAGTAATTCGTATATATATATATATATATATATATATATATATATATATATATATATTGGTTGTTGGGATCTTCACAGACATGTTTACGGCTATGTTTACTCTATTCAGGGTATATGTGTGGATCACCTCGATATGACTCTCCGTTACAAGTATTATAAGCATAGATGGATGGTGGCCAACAGTGGGATCTAGAATAAATGTTTCGTCCATCATCATTAATATAAAATTTATAGAAATTCAGCTCATTGTATAAGCGTTTAACAGACATTTATGTAAAAACAGCTCCACATAAATTTGACTCAATGAAAATCTCGTGAAGGAGTGCATATTGAGTAATTGATTCATTTGATCTATATTTAATTTTCTGATGGTGATATTGTGCACCACTATTGTAATGAATTATGATAAAGCCAAGATAATTAATACATTAAACAAAAATGCAAATTTTGGATTTTATTATTAAGGACTATTATATTAAAGAAAGCAAGAACAAAGATTGGTGCAGAATAATATGAATACATTTTATTTCGTCAGGTTCTCATCAGCTACTTACAACGAGGGTGATTAAAGATGGATATGTGTATCATGATGTAGAAAAGAGTTCAATAGAGTTAATTAAATAAATGTTATATAACATGACAAATTTCAAATTCATTTGTACTTAATGGAAGTTTCACAGAGAGTGGATATACAAATAACAGTTAGTTATGAGTCATGTAGAATTCGGCGCTAATGTGCATTGGTAAAAGTTGTTACATTACATCAGAAGGGTGAGATTAAATTATCAACGTGAATGCCAAAGTAATCTTAGTAGTATCAGTGTTATAAATGATATTCATAATAATAATAATAATAATAATAATAATAATAGTAATAATAATAATTATTATTATTAATTGCCCCGTGATTGTTTGAGGGAAAAGCAAATATTATGCATAACAGTAGGGCATTGAATTATAATATCAAACAATTTGCAAGTGCGAATCAACTGGTGTAGAGACTAATAACAGACGTTTTAGTAGTTAGAGTCTAACTTTAAAGATCGGCAGTATAGGGGTTGTGGAGATTATTGAGTTTTGGTCCCGCTCGCGGGATCGTGGATGTGCACTTTTGAGGAGTCCTACAGTAGGACGAAACGGCCGTCCAGTGCTTTCAGGTTTATAGCGGTGGTCTAACATTAATCGGTTCATGATCTCAATAAAAAAATTAAAGATTGGGTTTGAGGATTACTTTACTTACTACAGTCGGTACATACAAGTACTATCATTAGCTTACACATAAAAGATGTAGTTGGAGCTCAGTACACTAGTTTGTAAGACGCTACTACTCTGTATTGCATAATACAATGATGAATATATACAGAACAAACATAATATTAAAACATAGACAACAAAAGTAACTTTTTAAATTACTTTCATGAACATTGGTTGGATTCTCGGTCAAAATGTCCAAATTAGGTAGACGACGTTCAGCTATTGCCAACTGTCGTTCATGTTGACGGCTTAAAGTGGTACATCTGAATGATTTAACTTCATTTACGGTGTCAGAGCTGCTGTCCCCACCACCACTACTACTAGTAGTAAAAGATGACGAGGATGACACTGACGAACATACAGTTGTTGATTGGGTATTTTTGTCAATTTGAAATTTACTCAACTCTTTACTACAGTAATCATATGGATGTTTACCAAAAGTTAAAACATAATAAGCCAATAGACCACAAGCGAATATATCAATTGCACAAGTCTGTTTGTATAAAAAGAGAACAGACAGAAAGGGGAATTGATAAATCAGGTATAAATTTATATGATATCAAAAGTTTAACATAAAATTTATTTTTAAATATCCTCTTAAGCTGTATGTTTTTCTTTTGTTCCTGTTAAGGAAGAGTACTTATTGTTAATATATTGGAAAAAATACAAGCTGTAAGTAAATAATAACAAGATTAACGACTTTATAGTCAACAAATGTCAACACACCAAATGAATGAATGAATTAAGGAACTTAATAAAAAAACTCTCTGCAATCAATTTTTCCTCTCGTAACTAACTGGCTGATTATATTAGTTATGGACAGTTTTAAAATAAATATAAGTGACATAGATAATGATGAATCCCTTTCCGAATGAAGTTCGAAGAATAATCTTACTCTATGGTTAAAGACTTGATCGGATACGGGACTAAAATTAATAATTATGACCAAGATGTGTTTATTCTTTATTCTATTCTAAATCTAGAACTTTAATATTATTTACCACATCATAAATTCATTGACTTCAATTCCTCTTATTGAGTTATTTATCCTGTGTTTTTCTTTCTCGCATTATTACTACTATTATTTCGACTTGTTGACGTTTTATTTTTCTAATATTTGGAGTTAACCGCGATTATCTGTCTAGTGCAGTCCGATATACCCGATGAGAAATAAAAATAGTGCACGTTAGAGCTTGAAATGAAATTTCTGATGAGAATTACACTTTAATATGCTGGAATCACCCACTAAATGAGAATAGAAAAGTGGTTGAAATTGCTAAACATCGCATGATTATTGAACAGTGAAAAGGTTTTGGATAGGTTCATCCAACAAATATTAATACATTTCTATCGGTTTCGGTACACATTCAAAAACATTCTGAAAGGTTGTATATTTATTGTTTTAAATTGTGTGTTGAAAAAATTAAATAATGTTTACTTAAAGTGTAGAAACCCTTACCACTTGTGAGGCTGACTCTGCATCGCACAGTTCTGGCGCCATCCAACCAAGTGTACCAAAAGTGAAGCATACACTATTATCTGATGTTTGATTTTTATCACTATGATAGTTATTTACATCAGGGTTTCTGGAATTATTAACAATACCAGGAGTATACTCTTCTTGGTCACCATATCTTACACTTATACCGAAAACATTATTGCCATTATTATTGGTAACACTAGTAACATCCGATTGTATATCATTCTCAGATGAATTAAATTCAACACTACTGTCATTTTGGTATGATGTTGAAGGGAGTGAACGACTTTTAATTTGTTGAATTTTCACAGAAATGTGCGGTCCAATTGAATTGAATGTATCTTGATGTTCGTGTTGATCTGTAGGTAATGGACGAGATAAACCGAAATCTCCAACCACAACACGTGCTTTCCCGGTTGAATTATTATTATTCACTTTATTAGAATTATTATCCAAAATTATAAGTATATTACTTGGTTTCAAATCTCGATGAACTATAATTGAAAAAAATTAAACACAAAATAAGATTTCAAAAGTGATTATCGTCACAGTTAAATTCTTAAATTATTTAGACACATAAACATTGGTATAAGGAGGCATCAAATATATATGCACAACACTTCATTATCCGATTTGTGTGAGGACTGACATGCTGCCCGAGCGCCCAAACCGAAGCGGGTGGTTTTCTTAAGCGGTTATTCTCTAAGCCTTTGACCTAGAGATTTAATCCACAAGGCAATGGAACAACGTAAGGAGATGTAGTTCCATGGTAGATATGTTGACCAACTATAGGTTCATCCTCCCTTTTCTTCCTCGGGATCTTGGAGCCCATATACACCACCGGTTCGGAATCAGGGTTTTCCAACTCCCCTGGGTAAATCCTTAGTATCCACCAACCCGGATAAAGCGCCAGAAATTCGCTTTTCGTACTCCTGATTTCGTAGTCAACACCCGCGTTGCGAGAAGGCAGTGAGTAGGACATCCATGACAGTGGCTGTATGCGCGTGGCCATGTGAAAGCATTTCGAGAGGGAGAGCTGACTCTCACCCTCGACTGTACCAGGGCATTTAAAAGTTCTGCATTAGACTGGTATTTTAACCCTTTACTATTTACAGAAACTGTGTTGATAAGTAAATAAATAATCGATTAGTTTCTCAATTTGCTTTATTTATCATGCTTTATGTGCACACAAAACTGATGTAACAATTACAGTTCTATTCTACACGTGTAATTAATAAGTCTTGCTACCGATGCCACCTAAACTATCTTCTTATTCGATTCTGATAACCCCAACTATCTTTATATGTCAACCGGAGCAATAGACGAAAGGCGCGAAATGTGAGTAAGAGCTTTACGCGAAAATTTACTTGTGTATGGAAGAACGAGGGTTTATGTAGAAATACACACGACATTGAGCCTATGAAAGATTTCGAAGCCGTACTTAACGTGGTAGTAGTCGAGGTAAATATTCAATCAAAACCGTAGAGCGTGTTTCTGTATTTTCTAGATGTTTTTACGAAGCTTATATCCAATGCTGATTGGATAAAGTGTTTACTAGAGTTTCTTGACCTTTAGAGACTTTGATGAGGGATATTTTTGGGACTATTCCAACAAAAATTAATTTACTCACTTGAACGTTCTTGGTACTTATCATATGATCTCTTAACTAGCTGTTAAATTTTATGTAAAAGGTTAACTTTTAAACGTTATACTCACCAACTTTAAGCATAAAGAAAAACATCTTTTAACATGGAGACCCCCTAATTCGTCCCAACGCTGGACCTAAATAGATTACATCGCTATCAGCCACCGATGGAGGGGCTCGATAGAAGACTGCCGCTCATTCTGGAGCACATGCTTAGACTCAGATCATGCTCTAGTGCGAGCGCGTATTTGTCTATGTCTTACTGGACGTAGGAAAGATGGTGCAAAGAAATCCCTTAGGGTCCTACTTAATGATAGTCAAGCTAAGAGTATATTTGAGAAACAACTAGAAAAACAGTTAGACAGCCATGTAACTGATGCCCACCCCGAGGCAGCGTGGAATGACATCCGAAAAGCTGTAGAAACAGCAGTGATGTCTGCAAGTACGGTAAATCATAAGGTTAGGGAGAAACACTGGATCTCAGCAGCGTCTACCGCACTGACAGATGCTCGAAAACTCATTTCATCTGGCTCTGAACATAACGAAGAGCGGAGTCAGCTTAAGCGTAAGCTGACTAGAAGCCTACGCAAAGATCGTGAACAGTGGTGGGTAGCGAAAGCAAGAGAGATGGAAAAGGCAGCGGCAATAGGTAACAGCAGGCAACTGTTCAGACTTGTTAAGGAAACCGGTATTAGGAACCCAACTGTTAGCGAAACAATCTCAGAGAAAGATGGACATATTATTCATTCTCAACCAAGGAGATTGGATCAATGGGCAGAACACTTTAGGATCAGTTCAACTGGCCTTCAGCCACACTTCGCTTTCCCACGATCTGCAATCTACCTGAATAGCAAGTTGATGTAAGTCCTCCGACTCTTCACGAAGTTGAAAAAGCTATAGGAAATCTGAAGCGTGGGAGAGCAGCAGGCCCTGACAGGTTTACCCCTGAGATTTTTAAGGATGGTGGTCCAGTATTAGCGGCGAGATTGACTGAGGTCTTAGGTAGAATCTGGGAACTGGACGTAATCCGATCTGACTGGTCTCAATCACTGATTGTTCCAGTCTATAAGAAAGGACAAAAGTCTTCTTGTGACAACCACAGAGGAATTAGTTTGACTAATATAGTGTATAAAATATTAGCTTCAATAATACTTCGACGTCTAACCAAAGCTCGTGAAGAGCAGACTAGAGAAAACCAGGCTGGTTCTCGACCTGGACGTGGTTGTATAGATCAGATATTTACACTACGTCAGGTCCTAGAACATAGACACACATTCAGACGCCCCACAATGGTAGTATTTCTCGACCTTAAGGCGGCATTTGACTCTGTTGATCGTGAGATTCTATGGCAGTGTTTGTCAGTGAAAGGAGTACCAAAGAAGTACATTAACCTTATAAAGGCTCTCTACTCGAACACAACTGGTCGAGTGAGAGCTTATGGTGAACTGTCGTCAGAATTGATTACCTCAAGTGGTGTTCGTCAGGGCTGTCCACTCTCTCCATTCTTGTTTAACTTTGTTGTTGACGTTCTTTTAGAGATGACACTTTCCTCATCTAAATTTCCAGGAGTTGAACTTCTACCGGGAGATCCACTTGTTGACTTAGAATATGCCGATGACATATTTCTATTTAGTGAAGACGCTGACAGAATGCAGAGTCTGCTGACCACTCTAAGCAACAATGCAAGCATGTTCGGTATGCGATTTTCTCCCTCGAAATGCAAAATGTTGCTTCAGGATTGGGTTGCATCGGCACCCGAACTAGTGATAGGGAGTGAAGTAGTTGAGCGTGTCGACCGCTTCACTTATCTCGGAAGTCGCATCAGCCCTTGTGGTCTGGTGTGTGACGAAATCTCAGCACGGATACAGAAAGCTCGACTAACTTTTGCCAACTTGCGTCATTTGTGGTGTAGGCGAGATATCCGTCTATCAACCAAAGGACGAGTTTACTGTGCAGCAGTTCGTTCCGTCCTACTTTATGGCAGTGAAACATGGCCGGTAAGAGTAGAGGATATTCGTAGGTTACTAGTATTTGACCATAGATGTCTTCGAAACATTGCTCGTATATCCTGGGACCACCGAGTAAGTAACTCAGTTGTTAGGAAACGGGTACTAGGTAAGGATGGCAAATCAATTGATGAAGTAGTGAAACTTAATCAGTTGAGATGGCTAGGACATGTGCTGCGCATGCCAGACCACCGACTGCTCCGACGTGCGATGTTTTATGGTGTAGGAGTAGGTTGGAAGAAAGCTAGGGGCGGCCAGACCAAAACATGGCACAAATCCATGAAGTCACTGACAAGTGGACTGAGCCATGTTGGTAGGTGTAGACTACCTGATTGGGGACCGCGAGATGATAGCAACCGATGGTTAGAGATCTTGAATCACATGGCTCAAAATCGTTTGCAATGGCGCAGGTGCATCCACTCTTTGTGTTCTCTCGAACTCTAATCTTCTGAATTCTTCATGTCCTTTATTTTTTTTCCAAATATATTCCACTGGATTATACTCCTTAAATAACATCATAAAACCTTAACGTTTCCTGTCACTACTTATACTTTCACTACTCTGCCACTACGGGATTTGAGACGATAACTGAATCTCTGTGCTAATGTGGTATGGCAACTCGAACTGATGTACGTACGTACGAAGTTCCACGTTGTTTCTGACTGACTGAATATGACACTAAATCATTATACCGTATGACTGGTATTGATTTTGTTCTTAATTATTGTATAAAGCGATATATAATGAGTTAAGTGAAAATAAATATTTCGTTGCATATAATTTACTGTTAAATGTAATAATAAATCTACTTTTTACAGATCCAGAAATTTGTGTTTGTTCACGTAAGAAATATCAGGATTGATTTAGATTAATTTCCCTTACAATATTTTTAAAAAAATATTATAACAATAAATTATAATTTAGTTTAACTTCAAAAACAAAGGTTAAACTGTTCCATGTAATAACATGTTTACTTAGTAATTTAAATAATCGATTTATTTAGTCAATCATAAACAATACAGGACCTGGCAAACACATGACCTAGTGCAAGTTACTACACTATATCATTATTGTGAGATGAAATTATCAAGATAAACATTAGAGTGGTATCAGTAGTAACAGTATCAGTAGTAATAGAAAAACATTAGCTATAGATTGTATGATTCAAGAAGAGTGAATTTGTAGAACAAAAAAAAGTATACAATAATTTGAAAGTAAGGATATGTCATAACAAACAGGCTTTGAGCAACGTTAGACTTTCAGAACTATCATGCGGGAAATCAGTGTTTTTATTTTGATTATAAAGGGGATTAATTATATGAAATTACTAGATGATTGGAGTAGTGTATTCTAATATACGCCTATTTGTAAGCTTTTATTTGATTGTTGTATTTCTTACTGTCCACTAATTAACATTAATTAATTATTTTCCTACTGTTCCGTTTTTGAACCACATACGACTGGGTTGCATATACAGTGTAATATTTCATTTGATGCTGTCGATAAAGAAGTTACTGGTTTTATATCTAATACAGAGAAATAAATTAATAATCGGAATAGATTATATAACTGCTTTCATAATAAGCGACCTCATTACGCGAGCCCCATTAAAATTCAAAAATTTATAAGACAGGATCCAAAAGACGAAGAGTAAATGCATCAATACCATTATGACAGATTCTGAACTATGTCACCCAACATCTCAACAACTAGTTACAATAATCTTGAGGAACCTAACCAGATAACCTATTTACTGATATGATACAATCCAACCGTCAGTGAAATGATCTGTTCTTACGTCTTATTTGGGCTAACTCTAGTTCTTTTTCAACCTACTCTTACACTAGCTTGTTGAGGCAGACGGTGATTAGCCATATGTATTACGTGTCCTACCTACCTCAGTCGATGAAGATCCGCGATAATAACAGTTGATGTTATCTTTAGCTAGTAACCAACGTCTAACTTCAGTATACCTCACTCAGTGGTTCAGACATACGCGAATAATGCTTTTAAGGCATCTTTGATCGAATAACAGTAACCTACAAATACCCTATATTTATAGGAGACGTTTCACAGTCATACAGTAAAAAAGACAGTAAAGTACCGATTTAATCAGTTAACTATAAACTACGTAGGACATGATGAAATGAATCTATATAAGTTAAAGTACATCAACAAAGAAAAAGAGGAGAGTAAATGTTCGCTAGACAGCTCAGAACTATGAAACAAAGACTAAATCAACTTGAAGTTAGTTTTGCATCATGAACTAACATAAAGTGGATAAATACTGAAAACTGTGGATTAATAAATAAGAATAAAAGCAGTATGAAAGAAAACTAGACAAAAACAACGAAACTAGTAACTTACCAATTTGATTACGATGTAAACATGCAACCGCTAAAATAAATTGATGAATAATTTGTACTGGAGTTAAACCTAAATCATTGAGTAAAGATGTCTTAATTGGATCAGTTGAATTGATGTCATCTGATTGCAATGCATTTGAACTCAGGGATGTTAATGCTTCATTTAAACTCAATGAACACCTTTGCATTACTAAATAGTGAAAGTTTGCCGTACTACCCTATAAAGGCAAAATGAAATAAGATGATTGAGTACTACAAACAGATTATTTACCTTGTTATAAACTATTATCATTTGAAGGAGAATTGAAGGAGTAGGGAACAAAAAGTAAATTTTTAACTCTATTGTGAGACAATTCATCAGAATGGACATCTATTCGTTTAAGTGCACGATTTATGCTTGGCTAATTATAAAAACACATATACAAATAAAATATATACACATTTGTACGGTATTGTACTTGAAATTATGTAGTGGGAAAGTTGTATTTTGTAGAAATATAACATTTTCTGGATTAAAGTGAATGAAGAACATTTAAATATAACTTATGAACCAAATACAAGTGTATATGTTAAACTTTTAGTGTAAGAATTAGTCATATTATGCAGGTGATTCAACTGTAGCAGGTTAAGCAGGGGTAAGAATCTGAGATTTAAAGTGAGTAAAATTTGAGTACTCTATTCTAATAACAAAACTACTGCCTTCCAGTGAATGAATATATAAGCATACCTGCATTCCAAAGACAGGAAGATATCAAAACAATATGATGTTATATCTCATATTACAATACTTTGTTTCATTAAAAAACAAGAAAACTAACTCACAATAAAAACCAACTTACTGTCCAGTAACAACGAACTAAATGTGGATGCTGATGCTTTAACAATATGGCATGTTCACGACGCCAATGTTTTTCTAATAAAGGATGTCTTACAATACGTTTAACAGCTGTTTCATGTGGTCCATAAGTTCCACTTCATTAGAAAAGAAAAAAGTCATCCATCCAGGTTAAGTTTTTAACAAAAAGCATTTTCAAGAAAGCTAGTAAACATTGTGACGTAGTAGAGCTGTAATGTAATACAAATTGGCTAACGAAACTGCAAAAACAGTGAATGCACACATAGAATTACATGAATTTGTCTAAATAGAAACCAGAGAAGTAATGGCTCAGTAGTCAAGGTGTCCAACTTTCAAACACTAAGGCTTGACCCCCGCTACATCAACTTCGATTCGGGCAATTGAGTAGTGGTACTACTAACCCTCAGTTGATGCCAATAACACTAATATGTAGCTGGAAAATGAGCTAATGATGATTATATGATTTACGTTTTATACATATTGGTACAAACTACTGTCATAACTTTATTAAACATGAGTGTCTTAAAAAAAACGGGAAAGAACTTTTACGCTTAATATATAAAAAACCCGTTACAAAAGCGACATCAAAAAATCGATCAATCAGAAATGAAAGGATAATCTATTGAATTTGTTATTCTTACTATGCTACGCCTCAACAGTACTCAATGATGAATATCAAGTAAACAGTTTAATATCTTAGTCAAAATTAGTTTCTAAGTACTGATTTATGTAACCAACCCAGAGTCACACTTGTGTGTGTGAAAAAGAGATCACTTAGCGTCTAGTATTTTAGTGACTAGACCGCCATGCAGTTTATTTTTATTCAACCACGCTTGTTTTTAATTTATCAGAGGTAATGGTAAGATTAGCTGATAACTAGGAAATTATTATCAAGGTACGTTATAAAAGTCCTGAGACTTAATATAAAGATTTATACCATATAGACAATTAAGTGGATTTATGAAATATATACTTACGCAAAAACCATAGTACCGTTTGCCCCATGACCCAAAACTTTGTTTAAATTGAAACGAATTGGTTCCGGTTGTCCAACTTCTTGTGCTGAACACCCAGCCCAACCACTAGAATCTGGTGTATCGAAGTGCGATGGAAGAAGACCTGATATTATTGAACTTGTTTCTTGTGACAGATCTGTTTTTGTTTTAAGTGCACTTGTCGACAGACGACTATTTTTTATGTTGATATGTGTAGCGTACGATTTTGAAACGACATTATATACAATATTGAAATTTTTACATATTGTTTTAAAGTTCGAAGTAAATGTTAAACAGCTGATTGTATTAGATTTCACAAAATTGTTGATGAAGTATACAAATACAGAAAGTATACACAATACAGTGAAGAACATTGACAATAACCAAAATAATTTATTAGTAGGAGTAATCTTTGCATGTTTATCATCAGAATAATTGTCAATACCATTGATGCAAGTCTTGTTAACCAGTATATCTCGTAATATTGTAATTTTCGAAGAATTTACAGTTTCCGTTGGATGTGTTAGTGGACTAGGTGGAGGTACAATGATAGCCCACCTATTTTTTCCCAAAATAAAGGAACCAAATACAAAGGACAAAATAAAATGAATATTAAAAATCGGTTTACGGTCTACATTAAACATCGATATAATCCAAATGACTATAAATTATTTAAGTAGATGTTTATGTACCAGGTTCAGAGCTACATTTTCGCTGGAGTTAATAATATTACTTGGATATCTAGATAGAAAAAGGTAAAGTAGAGTCTGAGTTGGAGATACTAAGTGGTTCGGAGTTAAGTGCTGTAACTGTATTACCAGAACTCGAAGGATGCTTGAAACTGTTACGCGACAAAAGTTATTTTAAATCTGAGATCGTCGCGTACAGTAATCTATAATAACCATAGATATGGTTTATATATTAAAAAAAAAGAGATAGTTACAACACAAATTTGAACTAGGTAAGAATTAAACAAGAAAATTATATAATTTATTAAATCACTCTTAAACACAAACGTTAAATGTCCAATATCATCTTCTAGACAGATATAAACAGTTACTGTCCAATTATTAATAAATCAATCTCATACCAGTTGAACACATTTGATAAAATTAAGTTCAAATAGACAGGTAGTATATAGCCAAACAATACTAAACACAATTATCTCCGAGTTACTACACTAAAATATAAGTTGGATTTATTGATCATACTGTTTAACATGTTCCGATCATTACTTCAAATGAGAATGAATTAGGAGGTAAACAAAAAATAGAAGCGAAATTGGAGTAATGTTTAGTTAATAAATGTAATAGTTGAATGATCCACTGTTTTGTGTTCTTAATTTGTTTAACTGCGTAACCAAGACAACATAATATGAGTCTTTTTTTTTAAATTTACATATACACATTTATTTTACATGCAGATGTTTAAATATGAAACGATGAAATACAATGTGTGCAATAATTGAATTCATAAAAATATAACTATACACACCTTTAGGGTATAATTTAACTATAAACAATTCCATTTAGTTAGTTGTTATTTACAGTAATGAAATAAATAATAGTTTCTATTACTTGATCATCTTATAAACTCTTTCTTAAATATTCTCAATTCTAATAAATCATATAAATAAAACATTGTGGATAAACTGAGCTTGGTTTATAACATAATCAGTCAAATTAGTTTCCTCATGAGCTATATATTACGTTTGATTGAGTGATTCGCTCATATTTCTGAATCATTTATTTTCCAACTGTATATATTTTTATTCTCGACACCTTTTTTCTTACCTACATCATTACGCATGTTAACTGTGTATATGATATATGCATGAGATTTCCTGAAAAGCTTACGATCTATCACGAAAATGATCAAATACCATCACAGTAGTTAGTATATTTTCCTCTTTTAATCTGATGGGTCCATTCACCATACTATATGATGAGAAAAAACGTTTATGGACTTAATAGAAATGGTCCAAAAACTTCACCAGTGAATCTGCAGATAATCGATGTTGGGAACTTCTTTAGGTATGTACTTCCAAATACTTACAGTTAAACTCGCGTTAATGATAAGGAGATAAAATAGATCAAATTCTAATGTAACTAAGAGGTAGATGTTTCAGTAGACAAAAGGTGATGGATGGATACAGAGCGGAGAGATATTACTACCTGAATCAGCTAAAAACGTTATGATTGCCTATCCTGCTACTATGTTTAATAGGGTTCCGGAACCTTCCAGAAGCCCAAAGCCATTTGGAATAGTATAACTATTTTCGAATTTCTGCCCATAAACTAACCTTAGAGTAAAGAGCACACTCCACATTTTGCACCTATTCTCTCGTGTTCACGTTGTTGTGTAAATTTAGTATAGGGTTATTAGAAGAGCTTAGGAAACCGATTCAAGCGTTCAGTCACATTGATCAATAAAATACTTAGTGTTTGCTTTATTAAACGTGAAACACATATTTTAAGTGGATTTATCGCAGACCATTCAAACAACATGGCATTTCCTTGAAAGATCTCTAAAAAGTCCTAAACAAAGTTCGACTAGGTCGATAAAACGATTTAAGAACAGAGCGTTTGTACACAGACAAACAGTATTGGTCGAAATCTTCAAACCGAAAGAATGATTTCAAAGACATCTATACAACTTGTACACTAAAAAAGGAACTTGACTAATTTACGATAACATTTCTAAAAATTATTGTGATTTGATGTTAATAATTACTAACCATATGTTTATCTTAAACTTCTGATAACCTAATGGACATTTATTTCTGAGCAGAGATTATTTAGTCACTTTTTTTGCTAAGTTGTGATTCAGTCATTAATTGGATTTGGTTTTTAACCAATAGGTTATGGGTTCAAACCCTCGCATCATTTATTTTTGTTTCTCCTGTCATTTTGAAAAATATGAAGTTTAAAGGCGAGTACACCAAACGTATAATTGGTTAGTGAGTCATATAGATTCAGAGTAAGATAAGCTATTTACAGTTAAAACAAATCTTGGGGATTCTCGAATATACTTATACTGAAGACTTATGGCATAAAATGACTGAACAACAAACAATTGTAAACACCAGTGTTTAAAAGATGGCGATATATTAGGTGGAAACAAACGGTGAATAACCGATGAACGAAGACAGAACATTTCCATCTGCATCAATTAAAAGTAACTACTATGCCTCAATAAATACTTTTCATCAATATTTGGTTTTCGACTGCTAATCAGATAACTGGGTCGAATGTATCACGTGATCAAGTATGGTGAACTACTGACCTAGTGCCCAGTCAGTTTAGTGTTTTTTAGCCCTACTGATCTGATTATTTAGTTAATATCTAGTGTTCAGATCTTATACTTTATTTACAACAGACCGAATGGGGTTTACACATATATATGGCAATGATTTATCCAACTTACATTGTAGACGCATCCGATGACATAGACGATAAACGCTTTAATCGTTTGCCACGTTTCAGTGTAGACATTGGTTGGTCATCTATCCGATTGTCATCCCATGATGATGCTTTTTTATAACTTGTAGGTAATTCATATAAACCGATTAGACCAGTTGGCCAATTATCTTTGTAATTATTATAATTATCATTATTATTATGATTATTTGTATCAGTAGTAATTGTAGTCTTTGTGGTAGTAATTTGTTGATTATTATCCATAACAACTAAATTTTTCGGACCTTCCAACATATACATTTTAGATGCTCTACGTAAACCACGTATTCGTAATGTAGCCTCTGCTAAACACATTAAAGCATAAACTGGAGTTGATTTTGAGCGTCCAATATATAATGAAGGTCTGTAAAATCATAAAATAATTGAAATATCTCATTATACACAAAATTATAAATGAATCTAAAAGTAAACAATTATTTGTATATAATATTCACAGTTGACAGACTAAATGTTTACCAGTTATGATAGCACATTTGACTATAGTGAAATACAGATCCTGATTAACGAACATACGAATACAGAATCGAATTAGCATGGCAAAAGACTCAAAGTATAAGTTAATAGGTGTATTTATACGCAGTTCGAATAGAGAATGGACAGAATAAATAAGTAGATAGACAAATACATACCGACAAGTGTACATATAAAACGTATATGAGTAAAGGATACAGTTAATTATGTAGGTATAAAATAACGAATAGTATGGCAATTACGCAAATGTTTGTCTTAATATTTTACATTGTTCAATCAATTAGATTAGTATTCTAGGTAAACAACCTGAGGGATTATCAAATCGGTCCTAAAAATATTTTATGACGACTACCCTGACCCATTGAACATCTAAATACAGTGCAGGTAATGTCCAATCACTTAGACCAGTGGTCACATCACAACTTGATCAATATTAAAAGGATAGATAAACATGACACTCATTACTACTCTGTAACCAACCAATCGATCGTATATGTTGCAATACAGTGTAAGCACAAGAAGCTCATAGAAAATTTAAAGGTATGAAGTCTGTTTTCATTTTATGCCAATAATTCACATATAAAGTTCTATACTATTTATAATATTCAGATCATTTCAACGTGGCAAAACTAGTTTATAATGAATTAATGCATTAAAATAATACTCTTATGTGCAAAAATGAAGTTCTTAAGTGAGTTGACAAAGCCTGCTAGTATATCGTTGGTTTTCATACTATAATTAGATTATATATGCATTCAGTAGAATCTAGCACAGATGCGCATTTGTTCAGATCGTTAAAAACTAGGTCCGTAATGCGATAGAAGACTAATTAACGTAATCAGCAAAACAATACGGACATAGTTTAAGGGAAGAGAATGGAAAGTAATAGATAATATTGAAACTTCAGTAATAAAGGAAGATTTAAGAACAAGTTAACCACTGGGAAGAATTTCAAGCTACTTCTAACACATCCAACCGTAGATCATGGTTACTAAATGCAAACCAGGCAGGAAGTCAACGTTCGCTCAGACAGGTAAGACCAACTGTCGATGACTTTATAGACTGATCCTATGTTCTAACTTGACTGCTCCTAACGTTTCCTAACCTAATAATATACTAGTTAGAATTGAGCTTTAAAGTAGGCAGTGGTTTAATAAGCATAACCCATGTCCCAACTATATCCGTCAATTACACTTTAAAACTTATATAGCTTAGACGGCGGTTTTACCAAACTCGAGTAATGATTTGAAGGAATCCGCTGTTAAGTATACCTGTCGTTCAGTTGTTGATGGATATTACATCAACAGGAGGATGTAGTTGAATGCTTAGATTTCTTTAAAATAATGTAAGTAAATTCAAGGATAGAAATGTGGTAGGATTCATATCTTTTAAACATTTCTTGATCATACTTTTTACAATATTGAGTATTTATCTCGTCAACTAGTATTACTTCAAGAGTCGATAAAAGTTCTAAAAATACTGAAAATCACTCAGCTATCGTAGCCATTGAAAACTGGCTCTTGATTTAAATGATCGGAAAAAAAGCAAAGGTCTATACCACAACAAAAAGACAAAAAAGGAAATTTTCAGTAACATAATATTACTTAATTTGACTATAAACGTGATGAGTTTATAACGAAATTTAACGGATATATATCTAATTAAAAAATCAATTATAATTACGATGTTTCATACAAATATTAAAAAAAATTATAAGATTAGGACTTACGCTAAATCTAATGTTCCATTAAATTTTGCTTCCAATTCATCATAAATTTGATCATCTGTAGGATTTGTCATATTATGTAAATCTAACGCATAAGTTGTAAATGCGATACGTCTAAGGATTCGTGGTAATTTAGTTGTCTCTTTTATGGATTCTTTGTTATTGCTATTAATATTATGATTGGTGTTTTCGGTTGTTGCATGAACACTAGATGATGTATCAGACGGTGACCATAATGCATACATGCCGATTACAGGAGACGATAACGGTAGACTCCATATTACTGGGGAAGAAAAGATATATAAAATCAAAAACATCAAAATATGAAAATATTAATGATAATAACACGATGAAGAGTCTAAAGGAATGAATAGGTTTACTAACGTATAAACTATCCAACAACCACGTTACTGATCCATCTGATGAATCCCTAATAAGACAAAGTGAGCGCCTTGTGCTTCACTGCTAGTCACATACTAAAATACGCTAAAAACTTATAACATAACGCTACATAAAAGCAATTTGTTTAGGTTACCCATATGGTAACAAATACTGATCACTGGGAAGCCTGAATATGGACAACTGTAAATTAAAATCACTTACCAACAGATTATTTATCAATAAATGTAGCTGTGAACTACAGACACACTAGATTAGGGTCACTTTTAATCACCCAAAACAAGATTTAAAAGTTCAATATATATTTATTTTATCATTAAAATATCTAAAATTATCCAAATTCTTTAAAATTTGAGTATTTTTGGAACTAATCAGCACTGACTGGTGATTCGAGTAAGTTTCAAATGCTGTAAATGAAGTGAAGATAAGAAATAACTGGAATGTAAGAGTCAACAGTCAAAAATATCCAAATAATACAATTATGATGATTCGATATCGTTAATCTGATTAACTGTTGCTACTGATTAGTGTGATTACTTGTTCATTTATAGGTGTTAATATAAATTCATGCAACATGTCTTGGTAGATTGAATGATATTATATGATTACATTGAGTTTTAAATTACAGAGTGGAATCTCATAACATAACCCCATTTTTATCTAAGAGATTTGGCTTTTGATAGCCTAAGATAGCTTCAGAGCTCTCATTGTTACTTGGTGAGATGTTCTGTATTGTTTAGTAAAAAAGAAAATATAGTCGGGGCAGAAACTAGATCCAAATAAGCTGTGAAATAATCAAGAATCTTTTAGGATAGGTATGTTAATTTTCAAAAGTATATAGTTGACTTTACTCAATTTAATTCCTTGAACATACAATCAGCATATCGAAAATCCAAATATATGACGACATCTGCGAAACATCTTTTAAAATTTAAAACAGTTATAATGAGTGTGATCTAAATTCTAAGAATAATAATGAGCAGGTTGATGAAGAATAAATTTCAGAAGCGATAACAACGCAGACTGATTATTTATTATTATTTATTTTAACACATAGGTATAGGTACAAGGAGGCACCAAGTACATATGCGCCACACGAATCTCAATTGATTTGTGTGAGGGCTGTGATACTGCCCGGGTGCCCAAACAGAACCAGGTGGTTTTCTTAAGGGGCCACACCCCGAGCCTTCGACCTGAACGTCTGACCCACAAGGCAGTGGAGCATCGTGAGGAGATGCAGTCCCATGGTAGCCGGTGACCAACGATTGGTTCATACGCCATTTGTTCCTTCAGGATACTGGAGCCCATGTGCACCATTGGTTTGGGGTCCGGTTAAAGCGCCGGACATTCGCTTTTCGTCCTCTCATTTTCGTAAACAACACCCCCGCCACGTGAAGGCAGTGAGTAGGACTTCTCTGGCAGAGGCTATATAAGCGTGGCCATGTGAGAGCATTTCGAGAGGGAGAGCGAACTCTCCCCACTCTCGGCCGTACCAGGGCATTTGGGGGCTGATTATGACTTGTGGAGCTTAACTATATCGAGAGTGAGACATTTACTTAGAGTTGGGAGTGGACAAATGTTCCGCTATGATGCAAATTAAATTACATATGACAATATGGACAATTCATCCATGAGATAGAAATTTCTGTACGTTAGATTTTAATTCATGCTGTATTGTGATCGGAACAACTATATTGTAAAATCAATGTAGATCCATTTACAGGCTATTAATCGCACTCAAGCCAATGCTATATCTTAAGTGTCAACTTCATGGTCCATTAATTAAAATTGGAGTGCCTGGAAATGGAGCGTTACAAATAACATGTAACTAATGTTGAAGTAACATGAAGAGTAACGTTTCGGATTAATATCGATTGATACAGTGAAGCCATATATGTCTAATCATTATGTGGAATGTCAGGTGAAACAGAGAGTGCAGCAAAGCATTTGGCATCCATATTGCCTACATATAATTATTAAGTGCAGTTAACTGAAGCTATTTACGGTAGCTCATGACATATTTACTCTAAAATGTGCAAGTTTGGGAAAAAATATATACTTTTTTGACTTACACTTAGACCCTTCAAAGGTCAATAGAGCCGGTTGAGTGATAGCAACGTGCTGTAAATCTGTTAGACAAAATTGAAAATTAAAAGTGATGTAAATTCCCAAAATCACTAAGATTAATAACAAGTAAACAAATGTTTATATTAAATCTTCATCAAACTCCAATCTAATATATAATTCTTAGGTGCACATATGAAAAATATGAAATCAATCAATGTACTTTATGAGTCAATAAAAACAATATGGAAGGATTATATGACCACGGTGGAAAGCTTTATAACGAAGCTAATAATTTCACTATAACTCCGCCTGGAGTCCCTTTCGGGGGGCTACTGCCGGTCCCAAGCCCGGGTAAAGGAGGAGGGTTGGGCATGGGGTTAGCGTCCCCATCCCGTAGAAAACTAACTCGCTAAAAAAACGCTAACCAGAAAAAATAACTCAAACCATTTAAACTCTGCCCTGGGAGTTAGAGGTAATATGGCGCTTCATGGTGAAAGCCGAGTTCCTTCGGAAGCCACGAGGCCGATGCCCCTTCTAACAACCAGAGCAACAATTTTTATAGGTACATTGAACGTCCGGACAATGTGGGAAACCGGGAAGACCAGTCAAATAGCAACGGAAATGAGGAGATACAACTTGGCAGTGCTGGGAATCAGTGAAACCCATTGGACCCAAGCTAGACAACAAAGGCTAACTACAGGAGAGATGCTGCTATACTCCGGTCACAAAAAGGAAAATGCTCCACACACTCAGGGAGTTGCTCTAATGCTGTCCAAAGTAGCACAAAATGCACTTGTAGGATGGGAATCTCACGGATCCAGAATCATCAAAGCATCATTCAAAACAAAGAAGGAGGGGATCACAATGAACATTATCCAATGTTATGCACCCACCAATGATAGCAACGACGACGTTAAAGATCAATTCTATGAGAGGCTGCAATCAATCATAGAGAAGTGCCCAAGAAAGGACCTCACCATTTTGATGGGAGATCTAAACGCCAAAGTCGGAATGGACAACACTGGATATGAAGACATCATGGGACTACATGGACTGGGAGAGAGAAACGAAAACGGGGAAAGATTTGCAAATCTGTGTGCATTCAATAAATTGGTCATAGGCGGTACAATATTTCCACACAAACGTATACACAAAGCTACATGGATCTCACCGGACCACACCACAGAGAACCAGATAGATCATATTTGCATCAATAAAAAGTTCCGAAGGACAATGGAAGATGTGAAAACCAGGAGAGGAGCGGACATAGCTTCAGATCATCACCTGGTTGTGGCCAAATTGAAACTGAAGCTAAAGAAGAGCTGGACAACTGGACAAACAGTACCACGAAGGTTCAATACAGCCTTCCTTCGAGATACTGACAAACTCAATGAATTCAAGGTAGCTCTCAACAATAGGTTCCAAGCCTTACAGGACCTACTGAAGGAAGAAGAAACTACTATGGAGGATAGCTGGAAAGGCATCAAAGAAACATTAACTTCAACGTGTGAAGAAGTTCTGGGCCCCAAGAAGCATCTTCACAAGGAATGGATCTCTATAGAAACACTGGACAGCATCAAAGAAAGAAAGAACAAGACAGCAATTAACAACAGTCGAACAAGAGCAGAGAAAGTTCAAGCACAAGCTGAGTACATAGAAGCAAACAAGCAAGTAACGAAGAGCATTAGAGCTGACAAGCAAAAATACGTGGAAGAATTAGCAACGACGGCGGAAAAAGCTGCAAGAGAAGGAAATATGAAACAGCTTTACGATACGACGAAGAAGCTAGAAGGGAAATACAGTAAACCAGAGAGACCAGTCAAAGACAAAGAAGGAAGACCAATCACTGAGATTCAACAACAGCGGAACAGATGGGCAGAGTACTTCGAGGAACTCCTGAATAGACCGGCTCCAATGAATCCACCGGACATCGAAGCAGCACACACAGATCTTCCTATAGATGTCAATCCACCAATGACCGAAGAAATCAGAATGGCCATCAGACAAATCAAGAGCGGGAAAGCAGCAGGACCTGACAATATACCAGCTGAAGCGTTGAAGTCAGACATCGAAGTAAATACAAGCATGCTTCATCTTCTATTCAAGAAGATTTGGGAGGAGGAACAAGTGCCGATGGATTGGAAAGGACACCTCATCAAGATTCCAAAGAAAGGAGATCTGAGCAAGTGTGAAAACTACAGAGGCATTACACTACTGTCATGACTAGGAAAAGTCTTCAACAGAGTGTTACTGAACAGGATGAAAGACGCAGTAGACGCTCAACTTCGAGATCAATAAGCTGGATTCCGTAAAGACCGGTCGTGCACAGACCAGATTACGACACTACAGATCATCTTCGAACAATCAATTGAGTGGAACTCGTCAGTGTACATCAACTTCATTGATTATGAGAAGGCATTTGACAGTGTAGATAGGAGGACGTTATGGAAACTTCTTCGACACTACGGAGTTCCTGAGAAGATTGTCAACATTATCCGGAACTCATACGATGGACTACAGTGCAAAGTAGTGCATGGACGACAGCTGACTGACGCATTCCAAGTAAGGACCGGAGTAAGATAAGGCTGTCTACTCTCTCCCTTCCTGTTTCTCCTGGTGGTCGACTGGATTATGAAGACCTCGACATCTGAGGGAAACCACGGCATACGATGGACAGCTCAGAACCAATTAGAAGACTTAGACTTCGCAGATGACCTAGCCCTCCTATCACATACACACGAACAAATGCAGATAAAGACAGCCAGCATAGCAGCAGTCTCTGCATCAGTAGGCCTCAACATACACAAAGGGAAAACCAAGGTCCTCAAACACAACACGGAGAACAGCAATCCAATCACTCTTGATGGCGAAACTCTGGAAGACGTGGAATCCTTCACATACCTGGGAAGCATCGTCGATAAACAAGGAGGTTCAGATGCAGACGTCAAGGCGATGATTGGCAAAGCTAGAGCGGCATTCCTTCAACTGAAGAACATATGGAACTCAAAACAACTTTCAACCAATATCAAAGTCAGAATCTTCAATACGAACGTCAAGGCAGTTCTACTGTACGGAGCTGAAACTTGGAGAACTACAACAACCACCATCAAGAAGGTACAGGTATTTATCAATAGCTGTCTACGCATGATACTCAACATCCATTGGCCGGATACCATCAGCAACAGCCTTTTGTGGGAGAGAACCAACCAGCTTCCAGCTGAAGAGAAAATTAGGAAAAGACGATTGAAATGGATAGGACATACATTGAGGAAATCATCAAACTGCATTACGAGACAAGCGCTAACTTGGAATCCTGAAGGGAAGCGGAAAAGAGAAAGGCCGAATAACACATTACGTCGGGAAATAGAAGCAGATATGAAAAGGATGAATAAGAACTGGAAAGAGCTTGAAAGGATTGCCCAGGACAGGGTTGGATGGTGAATGCTGGTGAGCGGCCTATGCTCCTTCACGAGGAGTAACAGGCGTAAGTAAGTAAGTAATAATTTCACTATACTAAAAGATTGCTTTTTCTAGATTTTGTTGTGGCTGACTGAATATTCCTAAACTTAAACGAAGCATGTACTAAAAGTTTCTAGGTTTTCCGATGTTGGTTACTGTTTAACCAATCCGACTTATTACAATATCACCTATTTGTTAAAAATGGCAATTTGAATAATGTCACAACTAAAAAATAATTACAAACGATAATATTTTTTTACGAACCATAATTTTGCAAATCTGCTTCTGTATGAGACGCAAACGTATTGTAAGTGATATTAAGCCTAATAAAAAAAAATAGAAAAAAGAATAAGAACTAAATAGTTGACCATAAGAACTGATTAGTAAAAAACTCAACAGCATAAAGCAATGCTTAGAATCAAGCAAGTATAAAGCTATTACTGATATTAACAAGACCACTAATTATTATTTTAAATATTTTGATGAGTATAGAAAACCAATAAGAACTTTCACCAAAAGGTAGCCGTATATCCTTCTTAAATCATAAAATTCTATTTTAATGTATCGCAAACATCATTATAAGCGGTCAAAAAAATCATACTAACTCACTGACTTGACTGTCGCGTACGGGTTATAACAAACCGCTTGAATTTATTTACATCAGCACAAAATTCCCATCTATTTAATTGAAGTTTTGGTCTACTTCGCCAGGTTTTAGTGAAAAAAACGCATTATTAGTTAAAAAACAGGACGTGTAGTGTCTACAACTGACCGTTCACTGAGTAGTAGTCAATATTGTGCTTGTCATGTCCTCTTAGTGTTGATCGATAAAGTTTGAATGTGGTCACTAATGTGAGTGACTCGACATAATGTGCACTGTGTTTAGATGTTAGGCGGTGGAATTCAAGCAGCACCAAAAGGATTAGACAAACGTGACGCTGATTATTACTGGGCGATCAATCAGTCATAAACATCTCAGTCTTACGGAAGGACAGTTTCATGTCCTGAACAGCTCAATGGTAATATCTTGGACTGTGAAGCTGAGTGATGCAAGTTCGAGTCCGGTGGGGTGCATAAGTCCCTCAGAGATTACGGGTAAGTCTTGTTGGGGAATGCTAAATAGTCCGAAACCAAGGTCCAAGATTTTCCACCAACTATATCAAACTACCTAGTAGATGTACAGTCCATATGAACAGCTGTATGCGTTTTCTAGTTACATATATTTTATTCTACTTTAAATTAATCTAAATGTATTGGTGATAACATGAGTTATTACCAAACAGTTAAAATAATAAGCTAATGTTTAAATTAACTACACTCAGCTGAAAAACAACTGTTAGTTGTCATAGCTAATCACACAATACAAATGGACCCGTGCTATATAACTGCAGAAACATTGTTAAATATAAAATAATAGTGAATAACCGTAAGCAGGACAAAAAAGAAATTGGGAACGCGAAGTAAAAAAAATGAGTGTATTTACACACTACTGAAATCGATTTCTAACAATATTAAATTTTCCAGTTTATTATTTTGAATGTTTTATGAATCCAAATAAATAAACATCACTTTTCAAACAACTCAAAATGAGTGATGATAACTATAAGAATTTTTATGTCCTGTTGGTGCTTAAACTACTACTCTAGGTCAGCACTCAACAGTGCTTGATAAAAATAGTCAGTAGGTGCATAATATAGACGCCAACTATCAAGTTACTGTAAATTCAAAATTACGTTCATCGCATACTACTATAGGGGTTAACAATGATAACTCACCTCACCAAACCAGTAAAACGATCACGAAGTACTAGGTTATATTGAGTTCTTCCAAGGTTGATTATATCAATCTCTTCTTCGGTAGAATTTCGCAGGTTGTTAACATTTTCACTATTTAATGAAGTTGGACACTTATCCACGTAATTTTGAAATATTGACTCGAAAATTTTTCCTGAATTCATATCCACAGAAGTCCAAAAGTCTGATTTAGAACCTTATGAGCAAATATAATGACATAGGCAAGTGTTTTCAGGTGCAGGAAATATATTTCGAAAGATTATTTGTTTTGTTAAGAAAAAACAACCGACTTACTTTTAGCTGACCGATTAATTTATTGTATTGAGAGAATAGTTTCTGTGATATCGTCCCTTTGTTCCAGTCACCCATAACCGAATTCATATATTCATGTCATAGACCTTATCGCGTGAACTATTTACTCTACTATTATCTAAACTCATTTATCCTGACTATATCTCTTCACCAACAATAGTTAAAATTCAAAAATTAACATGACAGCGCAAGCTAGTCGCTGAGATTCAAAAACGTTACGACAGGGTTGGAGGAGAAAGAACAAATGCCGTCAGACTGAAAAGAATGATACCTCATCAAGATGCCAAAGAAAGATCTCTGCAATTGTGAAACCTACAGAGGCATCACACTACTATCAGCACTAGGAAAGGTTTTCAACAGAGGGTTGTTAAACTGAATAAAATACTCAGTAGACGCCCAACTCTGAGATCAACAGGCTGAATTCAATAAGAATTGGTCGTGCACGGACCAAATCTCAACATTACGAATCATTGTTAAAGAGTCAATTGAATGGAACTCGTCACTATAAATCGACTTCCTTGGTTATAAGAAAGTGTCTGACGGTATTGATAGAACCTTATAAAATCTTGTTCGACACTATGGTTTACCTAGGAAGATCATCAGTATTATACGGAATTTATACGACAGATTACACTGCCAAGTGGTGCGTGGAGAGCAGCTGACAGATGAATTCCAAGTGAGGCCCGGTGAATGATGATGGCTAGCGGAGAAGTCGAGAGAAAGCTAGCGGCTATTAGACCAAGATCTGACACCAGTCCATGAAGTTGTTGACTGTTAATATGAGTCCTAATTGTTGGTGGAAATTATCTGGTTAAAGTTCATACGATTACTGTGATCAGTGGTAAAAGACGTTTGATGACATGACTAAGTTGCATTCACTTTGTCGACTTCTAGATGTGCAAAATTACTATATTCCACAAATTTATTGATCCTCTGACCATACTCTTTATCTCTAATCTTTCTAACTACAATTGCTATTGCTTTTAAATTCACCTCGATTATTTCATCACTTTGTATTGTGTTGTAAAAACTTGAAGCTGTGTTTATGTCCCTAATCCTAACTTTTCTTATGACTGACAACATCATCAAACATAACGAGGGAGATAAAAGTCGTTTGTTACTTCTCCAGAAAAATGTGCCCAGTATAAACACTCCAAAAAATTAGGTGTTGATATCAATGAAAACCGAAATTGACTAATATCACATTTACCTGATAAGTACGTTAAAATGCAAGACGGATTAGGAGCATGACACTACTTCAGATACAAAACCTCAATAAGCGATTTTTAAAACCGCATCTTACAGAGGTAGTTAGAAGTGAGTCATATAATAACAAACTGTAGAAATACAAGATAAGCTATGTGAATTTAATCATAGACCACAAGTATGATGTTGAGGATTCAAAATAGATATTAATATATTTTTCCAACACAATCAAGTAGTAAGGGCGCTCATAAACAAAGTAGAACGATTTGGGCATAGATTACTTAACTCATGGACTGATAAATGTGTAAGACACATTGGTTTTTCCGGTCACATGAATAAATACTGAATATGATCCCGAGGTACACACAACAGGTGAACGCTATTTAGGTTATATTAATAGGAAACAATGTGTGCCCCCAGAAAAAAAACACTTGATATTCCCAAAAAGGAATAAGTATTTGCAAGACTACCAAAAATGAGACCTGTAACTCAGGAAAAAATAAAAAAATTTCATGAAGTAATGACTAAATGACACGCAAATTTGAAGTTCTACCGGTTAGCAAATAAAACTAATTACCGAGAGATAAGAAGTTTTTGTAGTATGCAGGAGAACGTCGAACATGCCCCATGATGGAGTGATCCAACAGTTGAAATAAGAATTCTGAGACGGAACTTGCATATTCATAGAGAGAACCGCTTATTGGATCTACAACTAGAAATGGGCTACAGAAGGCTCTAAAAAGGTATTTAACTTACCCATTGTCATAACTCGCGCTAAGAGCAGAGGCTAAACCAACAGAATGAAGAAAATTAAAAGAACATACCAGAATCAAACTTCCACTTTACATGTCCAGAACGCCTATGGACACACAAAATTTCGCCTCCCAAAGTATGGATTAGTATATAAGAATCATTAGGAATCTGAACAGTATATTTATAAGCTAGAACAGCTACCTTGCTTAATTTCAAAGAATGTGAGTATTCATAATCATGGTTTTTGGATATACAGTAAATCACCATGAAGTATATGGTTATCAATATATAGACTTTTATGAAGAGCACGCTTACACGAATTTCCATATTTTGAGAGCCATCTGGGTTACCTTACTTGACCTAGAGCTTTGAAACTACCGCTAGAACTATGTTAATATCCAATATCTAATATATTCAGTATCATTTCCACGAACACCCATACTCTAATTGATTTCCTTTCGCTCGCTTATTGTTGTTTCAGTTGGGTCTCAGTCCTTTAGTAAAGTTCGATGGATGGTAGTCTAGATAATCAAATCAGTTTCAGTTTCAGTTTGGAAAGGACAGGAGGCTTGATGGCCTGTGTTAGTCCTGGCAATTGTGTTCTCTCAGTTGATCCAACTTTCTTTTGAAAGAATCTACGGATGGAGCTTCAACCACGTGTTGAGGTAATGAATTCCACTCGTTGATGATTCGGTGGGAAAGTCGATAATCAGCTGACAAGTAATTTGTTTTGGGCTTGTGATCTTTTTTGGAGTGTCCTCGTAAATTCTCTGTTTTGGAAGACAGGAAGAATGAGGGCATATCAGGTGCAAATTTATCACTAAGCAATTTGAAAACTGTAATCAAGTCGCCTCTAGTTCTACGATATGACAAAGGGAATAGGTTTAGCTTGGCCAGTCGAGCATCATACGGAAGCTTCGCTATTACGGGAATCAGCTTAGTTGCTGTTCTCTGGACCTTTTCTAAAAGCTCACTGTCTTTTTTTAAGCAGGGTCTAGCCGCTTGTATGCAGTACTCAAGTTTGTGACGCACGAACACTGTATACAAAGTCAAAAATATTTTAGCGTCGACATGAGTAAAAGCCCTATGTATTGACCATAAAGTTCTAAAAGCTTTGGCGGCTGTTGCACGGCAGTGTGCAGTAGTCTTCAGATCTTGGCTAACGATGACTCCTAAGTCATTATGTGTCTGGACAGCAGGTAGCTCAGTGTTATTCATCGTGTATGTATCTGAAGCTTGATGACCGATATGCATCACAACACACTTGGAAGTATTTATCGGCAGCTGCCAGGTATGAGACCATTCGGATAATTTCTTCAGGTCATTTTGGAGTTCTAATTATCACCATTACATCGTATCGTCCTCCATATCTTGACATCGTCAGCATATAGCAAGACCGATGATGATAGTAAGCGAGGAAGGTCATTTACATACAAGAGGAATAGCACTGGCCCCAAAACTGTACCCTGGGGCACTCCAATAAGCACAGTTTCCCAGCTAGATAATTTTGAGTTTACCCGTACTCTTTGTTGGCGCCCAACAAGGAAGTCTTCTATCCACGTCAATAGATTGCCTCCAATTCCGACATTTTTTAGCTTATATAACAGCCGGTTGTGCGGAGCCTTGTCAAAAGCTTTGCTGAAATCAATGTAAGCCACGTCTACAGGTAACTTTTGGTCCTTAGAAGCGCACCAGCTTTCTCGAGTGACTAATAAGTTAGTGAGACAAGAATAACCTATTCTGAAACCGTGCTGTTTCTCCGAGAGGATTCGGTTTACATCGAGGTATTTAAACAGCTCTTTCCGAATAATCTTTTCTAAGATTTTTACAACCACACTAGTTAGGCTAACGGGTCGGTAATTCTCAGGTTTATGTTTCGTACCTGTTTTGAAGACAGGACTTACTATGGCGTTCTTCCAACCTTTTGGTAAACGACCCTGCGTGACGGATAGCTTAAAGCATATACTTAAAGGGTTCGCAACGAAGTTAGATAACTCCTTTAGTAGCCTAGGATGCAATTCATCGGGCCCCACGGATTTACCTATGTCAAGCTTATTTAGCAGATCAAAGACATCGAGTTCATTAATGGTCACGCTATCCAGTGTATGTGTAGGGGGGTTTGTATGCGCTGACGGGAAGGGTGCTTCTATGGTATATACGTTGCCAAAGTAGTTTGAGAACACTTGAGCCTTACCAAAGTCATCTTCCACTAATGATGCGGCAGTACTGTCTCCCCATAGTGCAGGGATAATTCCTCTTCTTTTTGTCCTTTGGTTTATATAGGAATACAGGCGTTTAGGACATTCTATGGATTCCTTAAAAATTTTTTCTTAGTACAGTTTTCTAGACTTACGGAGGGTCGAGGCACAGGTATTCCTAGCTTTTCGGTACTGAGATTTTGTCTCATCAGACCCCAGTAACCTAAATCTATCCCACATTTTTCTTCTCTTACGGAGAAGGATGCGGACCTCCTTATTGAACCATGGTGGGGAGTTTCTCGGCCCCCTTGGTCTAGTCCAAGGAATGTGGGGTGCGGTAACTTTTAAATATAGATTTCGGAATGCATTCCAAGCCGTTTCAATTGAGGACGCTGGGTCTATTGTCCAATCTACTAGTGATGCCGAGTGCATGATATCTGGTATGCTTGCTTTCCAGACGTTAGGTCTGGATTGAGTTGACGTTTGCTCGTGATTGACAGTTATATGAAAGTCAAAGTTTAAAACTGCATGATCACTTTTACCTAAGGGTGGCATGTAATGGAGGTTCGCAACGTCATCCTCATAGTGAGTTAATATAAGATCTAGTAAGGATGATTCAGTGTCCGGGTCGTACCTAGTCGCTTCTTTCACATGTTGCACTAAGGCACATGTTATAACCGCGTCAACTAGTTCCTGCTCGAAGGAATTATCTGATGATTCGGTTCGCAGATTTCTCCAGTCTACCGTAGGTGCATTAAAGTCCCCTAGGATTAGACATCGACCACATCGCAACCAATTTTTGAGCCTGTTTAACAGAACATCATTTACCTCACAGCTTGGACTGCGATAGACCAAACCAATTAGCAGCTCTTGTCCCTTGAATTTCAAGCGGTAACTAATCAATTCACACGTCCCACTTTCATGGGATACACTATCAATGATGACAAACGGGATAGCATTCCTAATGAATAGAGCTACTACCCCTCCTTTACGCTTATGTATTCTGTCGGTCCTTACTAAAGTAAAACCCTCAAAATCGAGTTCCATATTATCTATAGACTGTGTCAGCCAGGTTTCTGTGACTGCGATTATGTCTGGCTCTGTAGAGTCAATCTGTTCACCTAGTTCCGATAGCTTATTTAACAAGCTTCGGGCATTTGTGTAACAGATCCTTAGCCTATTTGAGTGGCTTCGTGTTTCACCCAGAGTGGCTTCGCCATCATTCTCTGACGAAGCCTCACAACCCGAAAATTTACAATTTTCAGGTCCTTTACGCCAGCGTCTAACCTCATTTGTAGTTCTTTTTCGGCTTCCCGTCTTTTGACACGGTCTGTCAACGGCAAGTCCTTTCGGATAAAAACTCCCGAACCCTTTAATTTATGTCCATTCTGTAAAATTAAGTCCCTTTCATTCGAAGATTTGAAAACTACTTTAAGCAGTTTAGATTGATTAGGCTTCAAGTTCGCTAAACTACCTAGTCTATACACCTTTAGCAAGGTGACTCCGGAGATATTTTCAGGCATGAGTTGATTAAGTAGCTGTTTTATCAGGTCAATGTCATGCTCAAAACGAGTTTTTGGTTCGGAGCTTTCGCTCTCCTTGATCCTATGAAAAATGACTGATCTGTTACTGTGATCAGCATTCGGTTTTTCGACTACTTTTGTGGGGGCAGGGTTCCCTTTTATATCGTTTTTCTGTTTCTTCCTCACAACCTGTACCCATTCGTCAACGTTGCTTGGAGAAGCAACCACAGTCACGTCAAACATACTGTGGGATTCTGGAGGGTTTTCGATGACTTGGGAGGTCAGGTTTGGTGTCCCTTTGGAAACTGATCGAGCCTTGCGGTTGCGGCTTCTATGTGTTTCTTTCTGGATACCATTTTGAGGACGTGGGACAGAAGAAACGTTTTTTCCTTGAGTTTTTTGTGCGGACAGAACTCTTTGGGGATTGTTCTCCCTCCTTTGGTCGGTGCGAGTCATCTGTTTTCGAACTCACTTTAGTTTGACTCACGCCAATTTGCGTGTCAACGGAGCGAGTACTTGATGATGTGTCGCGACCACTCTTACCAAAACATTTTTTAGCGGCACTAACCAATGAGATGGCCTCGGTTAGCAAACTGTTAGCATCCGAACAGCACTGTTGACAGAGCCATACGCAACCGTTCCTACTGAACCGTTTGAAAGCTGCAGGCGTTAAATTTGTGCAAACTTCGTGGTACCATCTTTTGCACTCATCGCACTGCATGCCGCTTTCAACAGGATAACGACAGCCCGGGCGTTGGTAATTACTTTTTTTGCACTGTCCAGTCATTTAAACACGGGGTTTTTTTTTAAAAAAAGGAACTAGATGCAAAGACACTCAGGGACAAAAAACAATCTATGACCAAAAAAAGTGGAAAACTGTGGATCGTTGGAACCAAAAGTACTAACAGATACTATATAAAAAAAACAGAGTACTCAAAAGTACTGCCAACAAAACTACTTTAGAAACAAAAACAAAAATAATCTAATCGAATACTTTAACTGAAATGAACTCAATCAAAGTGAAAAACAGTAGTTTTGATACGTATAAGCGATCAAAACAATAGAATCTACTCAGCGAGGAAAAATACCACTGTCCTTTTTGAATAGCGCGCACTATTTCTTGTCTTTTTTTTAGTTAGTTGTGGATTTGTATATCTTGTTGAGTAGTTGAGTGGGTTTGCCTTAGTGGAATCAAGCTTCTATAATCAGGAGGTACCACATCGCCAGGCAGAATATTGATTGACTGCAATTAGGGAAGAAGTGGAAAAAAAGTGGGTTGTAAACAGAAGGCGATTGTCTCAAATAGTAAGTAAATTGTTTATTGATGCGAGTGGCATTAAAACCAAAAAGGCTGAAATAGAGATAAGAATAATTTGACGATGATGAAAGATAATTCAAATGGTTCAAACGGTTGCGGATGGAAAAGGAAAAACTTTCGCTTAACGGACTCACGTGCTGAGTACTTGTCTGAAGATGTGCTTAAGGAGAAAGTAAGTGGTTTATGGTCGGTAAAAATGGTGAATTTACGGCCTTCGATATAGTGTTAAAAATGCCGGACAGCACAATACATAGCTAAGAGTTCCCTACCGAATGTGCTGTACCTCGATTCATTGTCTAGCAACCGTCTAGAGAAAAATGCCAAACGTTACCAGGAGTGGTTAACCCATTG